ATACCCATGTGCTCCCTTAAGTCTAAAATACCATATGGAAAATGCAGTTGAATACACCAACAACAAAATATGTGGTTCAACAGGTCTGTTTGCTTAAGTGTTATGTTGGAGTCTACATGAGATATTACAGTGGGTAGCTCAAGCCTGCTGATGGAAAACTTGACCTTAACGGTCTCTCTTAAACTCTCTAAGTTTGTGGAAAACCACTGCTTGGTTTGATAATCTGTTACCAAAACATGACTGCAGAGTCGTGTTACATGACTCATTAAACTCTCACAGTCACAAACTCTTACTGCGGTTGTGGTATTTTAAGTAAGAGACACTCCTCTACCGAAAGCCCAATGATAACCTGTCTGAAATTATTTTTAAGTTATTTTATGGCCAACATTTTGTTTGAATTATTCTGTGTTTTATATTTATAATAATATGATACATATGTACAATATTTTTATGAATTATAATTCAATATCATTATTTGAAACAGTACAGACGTGTAGACAAATGTTTGTGTTAATCTACATAGACATACCCTCATACATATAAACACATATACATATTCACATATACACAAGCACAAATACTTGTTAATGTGTGCACATATTTTTATATAAATTCTTAGACATAAATACTTTGTACGTTCAAAAAAACCCTCTTTCAAACAAAAATCATAGTAAAATAAGTTCAATGGAAAACTGTAAGGCTTGACAATAAATTAAAAAAGTAATAAAGATTAGGTGACTTAATCAACAACTTTAAAGTGTGAACACATATATACATTCACTGGCCACTTTATCAGGTACACCTGTTCACTTACTGCAGTTATAGATGAGCATGAGGCATCAGCATGTGATTCTTAACAACAATAACACGCGTCGACGCGTCGTATCGTGTAGATTAATTTGTCGTGTCAACGTAATCGATTACGTCGACTAATTGTTGCAGCCCTAATTTGCATAACTCAGAAACTGAAAGTATAGGGAATCGAAGAACCAGAACCTACTGTATGTCCTTTAGGCTTGAAATATAAGTGAAGGTCCACAGTCTAAGGACTATTATGCCCGACTCAGAGTGGCAAAAAAACAGAATTTCAGAAACATTTTTTTTTTCAAAACACTTCCACAAACAAACAAACAAACAAACAAACAAACAAACAAACAAACAAACAAACAAACAAACAAAAACAAGTGAAAATGTTCCTGTCCCCACCGTTCCCTCTTCCCTCTCTCAGGCCTTGCCCTACAACAGATGTCGTCACACATAAACACCAGAGCCATTTGCATAGACTTCCTTCCTTGGAAAACCTTATGTCAACTTCACAACTTCTCCTTATTACGTCACTCATCTATTTCTCGGAAAAATAAGCTAACAAAACAGATTGAAAATTACGCAATTTATTCTAACGTAACCCTTCCAGCTGTTGTCAGCCTGCTTTTGTACACAGTGAGTGTGAGCAAGACAAAACAAAACAAAGAGGGTAAGACCCACAAGATGACATATAAAATTTGTCCTGATGATCGTTTCAGAAAAAAAAAACAAACACTTGCAGTTTGAAGGAACTGTTTCAAGTTATTCTAAGTCAAGAAAATATAAAAATGAAAAGTCAAAAATAACTCAGGTAATGATTTTATTCCCCAATGATTCTTAACATGTCAACTCTTGGATTTTCAAACTTTTTAAAAGTCATATTTCTATTGTAACTTTAGAGTCCAGTGCCAAATTATCTTTAGATTTTTCTTTTCAGTATTTTTTACTGTCTTTATCTCTCTTAATATGTAAAAGATGGATACATGTTGGTGAAATTAAGTGATCATTCGGGTCCACTATGAAAATACAACAGGTTTAGTGGTGGGCCCGCACACCTCTAGGGTTGTTTTTATCTGCATTTTCCTTCAGCATGTTAAATGTTAACCATACAAACACACAGAGCACACATCAAGTATATAGTCAGGGCCAACAATTGGAAAACAATATTGAGAATCAGGAGTTACCATCACAGAAAGACCTTTCAAGTAATATATAAAAGGGCTTCGCATATAAATTTAAATAGTCTTGTAGCTATGAATATTTCATCAGCTTATTTACTGTAAACTATAATATCAATTGTACTGTTGTTTTTAAATTTAGGACTCAAACATTTTCTCTGAAAATTGTGTTTCTCAGATTTTATTAGCTAAGGAGAATGTGTGCAAACACATAACTTACGTAAAGCTGCTATGAGGAACATTTGGTTTGGGTTGACATTGGCAGCCCCAGTGGACAAAGTGATAGCTCTTAACTCATGCCCTGCACATAAAGAATTAGGGCTCTATTTTCGTTCCTCGCCAGCTACGTGGCGTAGGCATAGCGTAAGTCAGGTCTGCCGCGCCAACAAGGTGTTCCAAAGCACATTTTGGTATTTTGGTGAGCGGTGCAGCCCGGCGTAAGTATCCCCCCTCCCGAACTCAGCTCCTCCCAGCAGCGTAAGTCGTAGAGAGGGTGTGGAGTGGGTTTAACACAGCCGAGACCTGTTTTCGGCAATCAGAACTGCTCCTTTCCTTTAAATCTGGCACCAGTGAGGCAAATTACAATTTTCGTGAAGTAGTCAAAGAAATCAAGAGATGTCTGAAGACAGCAATGCCACACAATGGCGACAGAAGGCAGCTCCTCACCAAGTGTCGCTGCAGAGGGCGTCCTCCACACTGTCTCACATATGCACAGATGGATTTGATGTGTGTAATAGTGGACCCACTGGTAAGACAAACACCCTTTTCCACAAATAAAGACACTCACATAAAGTTGCATGTATTTAAACCTTATGTGACAAAGGTGGGTTGTGCGCACAGATCACAACATAAATTTGAATAATGGTATTAAAATCTGAACCATCTGTGCGTAATGACGCATCGCGCTCCGTGGCCTGGCTCTCTCTTATATATATGTTGGCAAATCAAATAAATTTGGCTCACAAAACTGAATATTATAATATTTGTATCTGGGCTTAAAGTAAATAACTCATCTGATCGCTAAAATAAATAATCTGTTCAGCTGCCGCAGCAGCAGCAGCAGGACGGGGAGAGGACACAGAGACATGTCCAGGTCAAGCTGCACAAGAAATAAGAGGAAGATAGAAATAGGGGAGAGTTTTCAGCACACATTCCACGCCGGCAGCGAGCACGGACATGTACTGTGCCAGCTGATTCTGTTGACATCTCCCCCTGCCGCGCCACCACGACCAGCTTAGCAAACCTTGGTGCCCCTCAATCTACAAAAACACCAAACTGGCTGTGCACCGGGCTCTGCCAGACAAAAACACCATTGCGCAGGGTCCGTCGCATCGGCGGCAGGCACGAAAAGCACGAACAGCTGGTTTCTTTGGCCTTCTTTCAGTCATCTGCTCTGACACCTACACCCTCACAATGGTTTAAGCATTAAACATTACTGCAGTGAAATAATCAGCCTTTTTACTGATGGTCTTGATTTCTTTTAAAGGTCATAAAAAGAGACGGTACCAGTTTTCGTCTGTTTCTCAACCAAAAAAAAAAAAAAATCTTATGGTGACTTTAATTCTCAGGTCTCTCTGTGAGGCTCACTCCAAGTTGGAGCAGGAAAAACTTGAGGTAAACATCCTTAATGTTAAAGTTTTGACTCTGGGGTCAGAACTGAGAAATTCTCCACTGTTTTGTTCGTAACTTGTTTTGTGCAGTTTGGAGCCTATGTCAGGAAAGGCTATTAATAGAAGAGACGACATTTCAAGGAACTGGAGGATCTGGTTTGATTTTGTTGATACCTATGCTTAAAAATAGCCAGATTGATAAAGTGTTAATCTAGAGCAGTTTACAGAAGCTGGGTGTGTGCAGAACAAAAAAAACTTGCAAGAAAAACCAGCAGGAAAGTAAGTGAGTTTCAAGAGAAAAAAACAACTGTCCGCTACTGGGGACTTCAGGGTAGGCTGGACTGATGCCAATCTCTGTGTTGACAGAGTGTCCAATGAGGGACATTGCTGATGATAAATCCATAAATGGTAATGCAGTTATTGGAAGGAGGAATTGAAACAGTACCTTACAAAATATGTTAACAGCAACAGCAACAACGATGCACAAGCCACTGGTGTTAAACACCCTTGGGCTGTAAGAACGTGACTCAGGGGGAGCATGCCTGACATTAACAGACTAACATTAACAGAAAACATTAAGTCATTGTTGCATCTGAGATTAACATTCACCTGTCTGGTTAAATCTGGTGTGTTTTCATGGTGCACTTGTGGATGATTATGTCAGTAAATGTGGAGTGTCTTTTAAAATGATAATCACTCATGTATGTATCAAAACAAGATGATAATGACAGGAGAAAATAAGCATAGAGGATGGAAAAATGAAAGATCATACATTTAGCCACCAGGAGAGGTCAGTGAAGCCTCATCATTCTTTACACTCGCTTCAAATAAGGTCTTCTGAATCTTTTATTCTTTGAAATTATGAAACGAAACAAAGATTTTGTAAAATAAATGCAAGTAAAGAGGTTATCATCACAATTTCAGAGTTATCACACCTGATCCTGGAATTGTGTGATAGATGTGCATGTGTAAAACGGTGAGTGTGTGTGTGTGTGTGTGTGTGTGTTTAGTTTCTCAGATTGAGTCAATGATGAAACAGCTGAATCATCATGAGTTTCCAGAACAGTCTCTGCAGCACAGTGACTTGTGCATTAGCTGTAAGTACTGACCTGTTTACAGTAAGCAATGCATGTCAGGTGTATGTTAAACACATGCAACAGTGATTTTTTTATTCGGCCAGTTACCGGGAAGTCACATGTTTTCCACCCACTATGTTTTAGATCAAATGTGTTTAACAAAAAAGTCCTTACTCTTGAAATAAGGTCTCATTCCTGTTGTGGTCCTCACAGTGACAGATTAACAGGACAGAAAAGAAGAAGTTTGTAGTGCTGCGGATTCGTTGAGGCTTCTTAAAGTGCCTTGATTGGAGATGTGGAGCAGGTGTGTGGTCTCACTCAGCCTCAGCGCCTGGGGAGGGGAGGAAGCCCTGGAAAAGAGTAAAGCCAAACCAGGCAGGGAAACAAAGGAAGTCCAGCCAAAATAAAACAAGATGAGAAGGCGTCTCACCACAAACTTGAAACTCTCAGCACAGGAGATTATTAGCTATGACTGAAGGCTGCAAAATGGGTGCTGGTCTGTGGTAATTTCTAACCATTTAAACCAACACAAAAGCTCACATCACAACTGGACACATACCTTTTCTGCAGAGTTCTCGCCCTGTTCTCACCACCTACAGCTCAGGTTGCAAACCCAGATATTTAGCTCGTTGCTGCCTGACCTAACCCACCAACTTGGGGAACAAAATAAATTAGTATCTATTAGTCAAACAGGGCGGCTGCCCCTGAACACTGCATATTTGCTTCTTCACTCATCACGGAACAAATATCACTGTTGTCTCATCATGAAATCTCAGGTTACATGACAAGAATCTTTGAGATGCACAAAGGTTTAAAAAAGGTTAAAAATGAAGCCTACCCTTTTTGTAGACATGTCTTTGATTCTCTGACACTTTTTATTATAACATGTTTGAATAGTAACGGCCTTTCAAACATTTGTTTGCTGCATCGAATGTGCGATTGAATACATTATTAAAAGTTCCAACCCTGGCTATTGTTAAAAACGTCGGGAGACAAGAACAATTTGTGCAGTGTTATGACAACACTGTCAATTCTGAGGGTTGAACATGTCTTTTGATCGTTATCTCTTCTGCTCTTTGAGTTGATTCCAGTCTGACTGACAGTCTGCAGGAGCTTCTGGAGACAGAGACACCTTGTGATCTCTCTGTAATTTAGACAGCTCCATGGTGGCCAGTGCAGAGGAAAGGTTCATGGTTACAGTTGGTGATAATGGTGTGATAGTTAAGTGAGGGAGGTGAGAGGTCAGGCACAGTACAGTGCAGTGACCCTGTAATTGAAGGGATCCAATATGCTGATTGAAACTTAAACCTGGATTAACAACAAGATGAATTAGTAAGAGCAGGGACATATGTCCATGTTTTATGCACGAAAAGAAGTGTTTCATTTATGCAGAGGCTAGTAATTGCAATTGTGGTGCCCTGCAGCAGCAGTGAGATCTGCTGGTGATCAGATCACAAACATGATCAGAACTTTGTCGAAACTTAATCATAATGATAACACTTAAAAGCCAGCTGCTCTATCCAGATGTAGAAAAGAAAAAACATTTTTTTGCTGCAAATTTAAGCTTGATATTTCACTTTGTTGCACTTTTTTGTTAACCAGACCAACCTTCAACTTCAACATGTCTACATGTTGGTCTAAATGTGGGATGACTGACAGCCAGTGGGGCATGACAAGAGTGAGCATACTGTACTCTTCCTTAGATGAATGTTTGGGCTCCTGCACAGACAATCTTACCCACAACACATCAGCCAAGTGTCAACAATGTGCAAGCTGCAAAGGTTCAGTGCAAGCACGAGTCATAAGGTTTGGACTGAAAGCTGTGTTGTTTGAGGCCGTTTGTTTCTGAAATCTGACAGCTGTGGCAGTTTCATCTAAGGTCTGAATCATGACTCTGATACTGAGGATGTCCTGAAATGTACCCCGTAATAAGATCATCCTTTCACGAGAAAAAGCGACAATAATTACTGTCAGCTAACTTTTGTTTCATTTAGTTTTCTAATGGTTTCACTGTTTCATAATTACACAGGTCCTCAATACATTTTCCCAGGCACAGAGCACATTTCTGATCAATACCACAAAGAGCCATGACTCAGTTGTCCTCTTAAGTCTGCAATGTTTGTGATTCCTTGTTAACTCTGGCATTGTTTTTGGAGAAAGTTTTGATTTGTTTCAATTTAAGGTAAACAGCGCCACCCTGTGTCTGAATGAGAGGTGTCAGGATATCAAATGTTCACCTCATGATTGTCATGGCCATAAAATATCACAATTATCACAATAATCACTTTGATATAAGTGATAGCTATGAACAGAAACAGAGCGCACCTTGATCAGGAGCTGGGGTCGGGGTGACCATTTGGTCACCGTTTACAGAAACCTAGGCACATTTGTTTGTGCAGTGCTCACGGTAGTCTTTGTAATAAATTCCAGTTATACAAGAAAGCCAGTGTCACGAAGCCTCCTTCAGCATCTACACATCGCGGACAGACCAGATACACAGCAGCACTGTTTGACCTTTCGAGAAGCTGTTTTTGGGGTTTTGGGGAGGCATTTTCCTTTGTTTATTTTTGGTGTGGTTGATGTAATAGGTCTTATTATGGTATAGTAAAGAGATTTTGAAAACCAAAACCTCTCCTCCCCTCACCTCCCCTCCTCTCCTCTCCTCTCCTCTCCTCTCCTCTCTTATCTGTTTCTGTCAGTAAAATGAAATCAATAAAATTTAAAGTAGTAAAAAATGCAAAAAGGGAAAACGCAAAAGACATTTAAAAACAAGTGGAACAATTGTAAACAAATATTGTTATGGACCTTTTCCTGTCACAGTTTAAAACCTTTGGCCCTCCCTCCTCCTCTCCTCTCCTTTACTTCCTCCTCTCCTCTTTGCTTTGTCCTTCCCTATAAACAAACAAACAAACAAACAAAGGTTTAATCTTGAAAAATCACTTGAACAAAGGCTAAATAATGTGCAATATTTAGTCAGATCAAACATGAAACACTTAACTCATAATAAATGATCTACATAAATAAACTTTCTGCTTATCAATATTTTCCATAAAGTTTAACGCATAACCATGAATAAGTGTTTAAAATGATACTTTACCTTTTGGCATGAAGTAAAAACTCCTCTCTTCTCCTTTTTTCTCCTCTCCTCTAGTTATTCCCTCTCTCTCTTTACAAGAAAATCGAACAAAAGGAAGATTGAGGTCAAATATGCAAAAAGAGAAAGCAAAAGACATTTAAAGATAAGTGACACAATGGTAAACAAATATTGTTATGGATCTTTTTCTTGTCACAGTTTAAAACCTTTGGCCCTCCTTCCTGTCAGTAAAATTACACCAAGAAAAGTTAAAGTACCAGAAAAAAAAACTACATATGAAGGGAACAATAGAGGTTTGCAAGTATTTTTTCTTAATTGCTAAAACACTAAACCCTATTGTCTGAACCCATTGATTCAATCCGTCACTCTTTTGGCAAAAACCATAAGCACTTTTCACCTGTTTAGACACAACTTGCCAACAAATTTTCATTGTGATGCACCTGTGTTGCATAATGGTGAGTAAAGGTGGCAAAAGTCAAACACAAGTAAAGCACAGGTGTCAGTCACTTAACACAGCAACTCAACATTGATCACACTTGTGGCTAATGATATGAGGGAACAAATACAAGCCAGTTCAGAGAGCACTGCTTTGTGAGGCTCTACAATGGATAGATACAGTAGAAATCTGAGAGGGGGAGTTCGCGTGAGAGGTAGTTAAAGAGGTCGGGTTGGTCAGTGAAGACAAAGAACAGTAAAATCTGATGAAATCAGAGCTACTGTGATTGATCATGTTCTTGTCCATGTAATGAGCATGAGGGAGGCCGGACAAAGGGTACAACCAAACATCAGTAGATTCACTGTGTCCACCATAATCCGAAGGTTTAGAGAAGAGAACAGGTAATTACCTTTTTGACATTATAGAATGAAAATGTTGACAGCAATTTCTGTATGACTTTACTATATACTGTTCCACAGTATACTGCAGATATATGTTTCAGTACATCACTGTGCCAATGTACTGTAGTATTGTAATGGAGGGTTAGGCTAACTGTTTGTAGGCCCAGTATTTCATGTGTTTTTTTGTTTTTTTTGTTACTTCATATTCTCTTTTTGTAGAATTGAAAGACTGCCACATGGAGGTGGGAGCAGAGGTATGTTCTCCCCACACCAAGAGACCCTAATTGTTGATATGGTGCGTGAACTTCCTGTTTCCCTTGTGTTCCTGGTCTGACTTGACTGTTTTTCTTAAGTTTGTCCACAGCCCCATAAGCTTTGCTGGCGGAGGCAGGATTTATGACCTATACTGCAGCCCATCAACAGAGGGTGCTGTTCTCAGAGTGGCTTCACCCAGCCAGGAGGCAGACTCTGTCCATTCTATATACACTCACCGGCCACTTTATTAGGTACACCTGTCCAACTGCTCGTTAACACTTAATTTTTAATCAGCCAATCACATGGCGGCAACTTAGTGCATTTAGGCATGTAGACATGGTCAAGACAATCTCCTGCAGTTCAAACCGAGCATCAGTATGGGGAAGAAAGGTGATTTGAGTGACTTTGAACGTGGCATGGTTGTTGGTGCCAGAAGGGCTGGTCTGAGTATTTCAGAAACTGCTGATCTACTGGGATTTTCACGCACAACCATCTCTAGGGTTTACAGAGAATGGTCCGAAAAAGAGAAAATATCCAGTGAGCGGCAGTTCTGTGGGCGGAAATGCCTTGTTGATGCCAGAGGTCAGAGGAGAATGGCCAGACTGGTTCGAGCTGATAGAAAGGCAACAGTGACTCAAATAACCACCCGTTACAACCAAGGTAGGCAGAAGAGCATCTCTGAACGCACAGTACGTCGAACTTTGAGGCAGATGGGCTACAGCAGCAGAAGACCACGCCGGGTGCCACTCCGTTCAGCTAAGAACAGGAAACTGAGGCTACAATTTGCACAAGCTCATCGAAATTGGACAATAGAAGATTGGAAAAACGTTGCCTGGTCTGATGAGTCTCAATTTCTGCTGCGACATTCGGATGGTAGGGTCAGAATTTGGCGTAAACAACATGAAAGCATGGATCCATCCTGCCTTGTATCAACGGTTCAGGCTGGTGGTGGTGGTGTCATGGTGTGGGGAATATTTTCTTGGCACTCTTTGGGCCCCTTGGTACCAATTGAGCATCGTTGCAACGCCACAGCCTACCTGAGTATTGTTGCTGACCATGTCCATCCCTTTATGACCACAATGTACCCAACTTCTGATGGCTACTTTCAGCAGGATAATGCGCCATGTCATAAAGCTGGAATCATCTCAGACTGGTTTCTTGAACATGACAATGAGTTCACTGTACTCAAATGGCCTCCACAGTCACCAGATCTCAATCCAATAGAGCATCTTTGGGATGTGGTGGAACGGGAGATTCGCATCATGGATGTGGCAGCCGACAAATCTGCGGCAACTGTGTGATGCCATCATGTCAATATGGACCAAGCTCTCTGAGGAATGCTTCCAGCACCTTGTTGAATCTATGCCACGAAGAATTGAGGCAGTTCTGAAGGCAAAAGGGGGTCCAACCCGTTACTAGCATGGTGTACCATTCTATATACAGTCTTTGCTCTCCACCCAAGACTTACCTCTCTGGGTGGAATCCAAAAAGATGGCACCAAGGTTCATTGGGCCTTTCACCATTCAGAGGGTCATCAACCCAGTGACAGCCTGGTTGAAACTCCCACGTTCCATGAGAGTACACCCTACCTTCCATGTCTCCAAGGTTAAGCCAGTCCACAACAGCCCCTTGGTCCCTGCGGCACCACCACCTCCCCCTCCACGAATGGTCGACAGCGGTCCAGTGTATGTAGTGTGCTGCCTAATTCGTTCTCGGTGGCAGGGTAGGGGTCTCCGGTACCTTGTGGACTGGGAGGGTTACGGTCCTGAGGAGAGATCTTGGGTTCCTACTCGTCACATTTTGGACCCCAACCTTGTGGTCAACTTTCATTGGCAACATCCCGACCAGCTAGCCAATGAGTCAGCTCGTCTAGGAACCCGCACCTTGCCCCCACCTGTCCAGGATATGGAGGACCGTTCTGCGGGGGAGATGTCAAGTGTCAGGGAAATTAAGACTGTGGACAATTGCCTGCTCACGAGTCCCAGCTTTCTTGCATGTCCTGTGGTCCTCCACTACTCTGCTCTCCTGGCACCCGGAAGACTGGGGTTCGAATCCTGCTGTTCTCTGCTGCTTCATTTGATTTGGTGTCAAATAAAGACTGTTGTTCGAGTGAACCTGCTTGTTTCTGCTGCAATTGGGTCCAGTCAATACCTATTACACATTGGCACAGTGATAATGGCAACAAAATCATGTGACCCGTGTTTAAATCAATCTCAGATGTTCATTCTTACACAGGCAAATAAGACACACACAGTCTACATGGATCACCAAATGAAATGTGGCAGTAACATCACTTTATTTCATGTTTACCTTTTACATGAGCTTGTTTAAGACACTCAGAGTTCAGATGTCACAGCTCATGTGAACCTTTTTGTGTGAGAGTTAAAGCTCTACATTGTCCCTCCTCATCCTCCTCCTTTGCACTACCTTCTCTCATCGCCCCCTCCCTTTCTCTCCTCTATTTACAACAAGGCAGAATTGAAAATACCAAATATGAAAAGACACGTTTTACATTATGTATACATCATTGGATAAGTGTGATAACATTTGAAACATTAATTACTTAAAATAAGAACTACTAAATCTACTGCCCTCCCACCTCCTCTCCTAACATTCCTCTCCTCCCCTCCTTGCAAGAAAAAAGACAGTTTTTTCTATTCTGGCTTGCTTTAAGATCACAAACTATCGATATACACAGAATTTTGAGTAAGATTATGCAATATATACTCAAGTTGCTGTGCGAAAGACTAGCTGGGTGAATTTTGGTGCCCCTTGTAGACAAAGTGACCCCTTTTATCTCTACTTCTATTCTCAACATGTGAAACATATTTTCTCAAACACAAACTTTGCTCTGTTAAATTTTTTACTCTCTGAGTTTATACCATGGAAGGAGTAAAAGAGGTGTTTGCTTCAGTCTGCTGTTAAACACCTGGTATGACACCGACCCACTTACAGTGGTTTCAGGCTTTGAAAATTGCAGCAGAATAATTATAAGCCATATTGATGATGGGCCTGTTTGCTTCTGAAGGTCATACAGGGGCATCAGCATCAGTTTCAGCCTGTTTGTCAGCCTCACGTAGTACAACAAAAACTGTAACTACTGGACTGTTTTTGTGCTGCTTCTTACATCTTCTGTGCTTCACAAGCTTTGAAAACAGCTACTCCACTCTTTCCATCACTTCAAAATACTATTGCCAACATATTAAAGCTTATTATTAGCATACGTTAGCTGTTATTGGTGTTCATGAGCAGAATTTTTTTACATGTCAATAATTATAATGATCTTTTTTTTAAATTCAAATAAATAATGCATGCTATAATTCCAAAAATAACATGCACTCTCAATGAGATTTTGCAGCTACAGTTCCTGTAAAGAAAGTACTGTTAATTATGGGACCGACTAAAACAGATTTTGTGGCCTACAAAAGCAAACAAGACCATCAAGAGGAAGGTTTATTATTAGCTTAAAGTGATTTTTAGAATGTGTAACCAATGCAGACTAGAAAGCTACCAAAACAGCCTTTGTTTTACAGTTATTGTAAAAAGTTCTCGATGGGACACTTGACAGTTAAAACACAACAGGATAATTTTTTTTTAAAGGGAAAGAAACTACTATCACATTTCTAGGATAAGCACAGTAAAGACTGTTGTCCACACAGAGTGCCAAAATCCACATGAAGGGGCTAAAGGGCTTCTCAGGCTCACTGGCCCTTGTTACGCTTATCTTTCTTTCAAAGGGAAACACCTGCTCACTGTCCAACTTGCAGAGAAAGGTAAAATACCTTTGTACTACACCTTCATCAGGCAAAACTTCTCCATTGACATTCTTCTTTCTAGTAATCTCTGTTCCTCATTTTTCACACCAATTCTCCTGGGTCAGCAGAGTAAAAGGATATGTCTGCACACCTGAGAATGACACCAGGGACTATCTGTCTGAATTTCTGTTGGGTAAAGTTTGAGAGTTATCTATTTCAAAGTCAAAAGCATCAATTCAGTGTGTTTCTGACTTTCACAACTTACACAGAGCGTCTGCCCAGCTAATGCAGACATTACAAAGAACATCTGTTTTCGACTCCTCAGGAGCAGAGTTAAGTGAGATAAAGACACGCTTCACATCAGTTGCAGAGTGTGTTCTGGCAGCAGTGACTCTTATCTCCCTGTGTGTCTGCGCTGTAACATCAAATAAATATGCACAAGTCATATCCTGTCATCCCCTTTGTTAGAAACATGATTGAGTTTGGTTGCTAGACACTGTCACACCTCTGTGAGTATGTCTTCATTGTGTTGCTTTCTTTGGAAATCCACAGGTAAACAGGAAAATATTAACTCTGAGAGATCGGAAAGATGAAATATAAGGGAAGGAAAGTAAGAGTAGATTCAGAGAATCGCAGAAGTCGAGAATTCATCCTTATTTTCAAAATAAAGTTATTAAGTCTATTAAAGACAAAACGGGAATAAACTAAAAGCAGAAGACACACAGTGATCATGTTTTTAGCTTAATATTGTCAGCGCAAAATATTCCCTTATATTTCAGTTTCTCTTAAATTTGACGTCATTCTTTACCATTACAGATCTGGGGTCAGTTTATTGCAATGATATCAAGCAGAATATCACGCTGATTAAAACAAGAGTTAGGTCAAATGGAATTTCCCCCTGTGGGACTAATAAAGAAACATATCTTATCTTATCCTATCTAAAACACAGTTAATAGTAAAACATGACACTTGTTAGGATTTTGTTGCTGACTTTAAATCTTCTAGACTGTATTCAGACAGATAATCCAGGTCCAGTTAATTACTTCATATTTTGAAGAGTTGGTTTAAGTTAATTTAAAATCAACAACCCTCACCTTTCATTGGAAAATACAGGTGGTCCGACTGCACTGGTAAAAAATAGTACAAGCAATGTTAAGCAATTAGTAAATGAATTACGAAGAGGTTCAACAATTTCCAACACACATGTAAGGTATACCAATATAAAACATTTGGCTAAATCAATATGTAAATGAGTCCAAAAGTGCAGGAAGTGACTTTTTCAATGATAAATGGTATAAAAGCAAAGAACAGTCAGCAGTTGGAGTGTAGATACATTATGCCATCACACATATCAAGGTGTTTTAACAGAAATTTACAAACAAACTAGCAGTTCTCCATTTTAATGGTTAAATTCAAATATGACAGAAATAAAGTTTTAAGTAATGTTTGGAGGTGATCATAACAACAGTTGTACGTTAAGTTTTTATTTTTTTTATCTGTAGAATAAAACTCAAAGTGATGTTTTGTATTCTCTCTTTGTTGAACACATGAAAACAACAACAAAATCATAATAACATTACATACATAAGGTGCGTACTTCCCGGTCTAATTGCATTTTATTTGAAAGGCTTCAAATCAACTTCCGGTCCTCTCAGTGGCGGTGGGGAGGCCACTGCGCATTGGCAAAACGTACGTCATTGCCTCCACTAGCCATCTTTGTGACAGCTCAGCTGACTCGCTTCAGTCAGAATGGATGCTTCAGGATTATGGTTACTATTACGAGCTTAATTGTATATATGTAGGTTTCTTGTTAATAAATTTATATTTATGTAATCAATCCTCGCCTCGATACTGTGAAAAGTCAGAGAACCATAATTTTGACTGGGTGGCGGCACTCTCTGTGGCCCAAAAGGTCTCACCGTGCTGAGCAGGAGCTCTGGCAAATTAGCTCTGGAGCCTCCTGCTAGCTAGCCTGTGACATTGCCAGCTGGTTTCTGAAATCGATCTGTAGTTTAAATAAAGTTTTTTTTTGCAAACATTTAACAAGGCATGCAAAGGAGTGAAGTACAATATGAATAATAATAGAAACAAGAAATAACAAGAAATTTTAAAAAACAACACCAACAAAGACAATAACAAGAGACAAAAACAAATCAAAAACAACAAAAAATAAATAAATAAAATAAAGTAAATAAATAAAGTTTTTAAGGTTAAGTAAATCTACACTTGTGCAGTACAGATTGGGTAGGTGGCAATAGCAATGCCGTAAAATGAATTGAAAGACGAGAAGAGGAAGTGATGTACGTTTCGCACATGCGCAGTACAAATCAAGTTTCCGGGATGGATCGGGTAGTGACAGGTGGGTCCTCTCAGTGGAGGTCTGCAGCCAGACTCTCCTGGCCTCTTCCTATTTTCTTCTGTAAAGAAAATATAAACTTTACAGATAGTTATAACTTGCTTTAGGTAACAGCTGTTAAACAATTAATCAACAGATAGAAGAGATACATATTGTATATTTTCATCACTATGGAACTGGCCCTTATCATTAGTGTTCTTCATATATATAATTTATTGTCTTTAGAATTTAAGGTTTGTTTCAATGTCTATCTTAAATTCAAATTTACATGGAGTTTTGAAGATTACATTTAAAGTTAAAATCATTCACCACTGTGATTTACCTCATTTCACCAGAGGACTTGCTGAGGGTAAAGTAGGCAGATCTCCAATGCTAGATGACACGGAGCACTCATTTGTAGGCTATTACACTATAAATAAGCACATAGAAGAATGAGAATGGATTGGGGTAGGATTAGGACAACAATCAAATTTTTTCTACCTACATACTCAAAGGATAAAATCAGACAAACTACAGTCATATGAAATATTTGATTATGTCATTTACTGCAGTGCCACTTAAATAATTGTTATCTACTGTTTGGTACATCCACAATTTACACAAACAACCTGTAGCTGAGGCTCTGCGTCATCCACCATGCCTCCCCCTGGGCTTGTCTTGTCCTTGCCTTGTCCTCTTGATCTTTGATTAAGAGTCTTTTCCTGAGCATGCCTGTTTCCTGATCTTAGCTGCTTTCTATGTGTCGATAAAAGGCTTGTCAAACTGATGTGGTTAAAGGTACTAGAAACAAAAACAGGTGACAAATCAAAGCAAACCCCAACATCTAATGAATTGAGGTATTTATTCAGGGTCTAACCCTTGGCCTACCACAACATCCCATCTGTAGTTAACGACAGTTACATCAGAATACATGCTCTCCGATGTTTTGCATACATATTTTACAAATGCAGAAGTACTACAGTCATGAAAGGTCTACCTGTGGCCTCATTTTCTTCATTTCTTTACTGAAGTCTTCTCTATAGATCTAAGAGCAGATATTATTCACTGATAGATAGATAGATAGATAGATAGATAGATAGATAGAGGGTCGGTATTTGGGGATGGGTTGACAGAAACTACAAGAAGAACAGAGACAAATATTTAGTACTGTAAGCTAGCTATAGTCTAGCTGTGTTTATATTTCTGCAGAAAGGTTTAAAAGGGTATTTAAATGGATGAACCATGACTTCCCCATCTTCTGAATAAATACAAAAGGTCACTTTTTTTTTCTAAATCAATACACAGGGTCTAAGGGTGCCTAATGAGACATTATGCCTCATATTTTTGCATATCATAAGCTACTCTTTGGTGATGCTCTATGCTTGGCAGGAGTAACTTACAAATAGGCTAGTTAACTTTAGCTAGCTAGACAAAAGTGACAAGATATTGATATTTGTCCCACACCAGTTGGAAGATTGTTTTCATAGTCATGCGTTTGATAATGAAACCATTGTTAATCATAGCTTTAATATGTATGCCGTGTGAATAATGGCAAAATAAGGCATCAACTCATGTGACACTCAGCAAAAACACCTTGCATGGAGAGGGGTTAGCGGGAGAAGAGCAGAAGAGCAGGAGAATGCTTGCTACAGCAAGTGGAGGTGCGGGGGAGGGACTAAATAAAATAATATCAGATTGCATTGTCAACGTAGTGGTACCTTAAAAACCAGGAAAAATAAACAGACATTTAAATAAAAAACTCGTAGAGTTACCATGCCATAAATGTTACAAATAAACGCGAGCATTTTTGTATAGAAAAAAAGCTTGGAAAATTTATTAAAAATAACTGTAAAGTGTTTTCCTATCTCAAAATGCCTGAATCCTACAGCAAAAAAGCAGAATTAAAGCATTAGATCTTAACTACGGGACAATGCACTAAAAAAAATTACTCATAAGACTAAGAAAATATACTGTAAGTATTTTGCATGCAAATGATTTAAGTAAAATGTAATGCTGCAATGTCAACTAACACTCACTTGCCAGTATCAAGTAAATTTTACTTTCCATAAAACATAACAGTTGTGAAGATATTAAGTAACATTTACTTCATTACATCCAAGTTTTAAGTTATATTTATTTAAACAAATTAAATAAAATGTACTGGTTTTCCATAGACAGGAACCTCATTTTACTCAAAAATTTAAGTGCAATCTATTTCTCTGTAGTATTTATTGTTATGAAGTAATTAAGTAGAAATTTATTATTTTCTTATGCTTGACATTTTAACTTACTAAGTTGATCAGATTTCATATAGCGCTTTATCAGAGACCCTCAAAGCGCTTTACATTGGATACATCATTCATTCGCTCACACAGTCACACTTTGGTGGTGGTAAACTACCTCAGCAGTTTGCACCTACAGTTTCTCCAATCACCAAACATTACTCACAATCATACACCAGTGGAGGACACACACTGGGAGCAAAATTGGTTAAGTGTCTTGCCCAAGGACACAATAGACAGACAAGAGATAGGGGGGAATTGAACCACCAACCTTCCAGTTATTGGACGACTGCTCTACGTTCTACGCTACTGCCGCCTCCTACCTTGCTCTGTGATCCTGTAATGTCCGGACTCAGAGCAGAGCCAGTCCTGTTGTTTCAAAACGCTACACTTTCAGAGTAGAGTTTCTTCCCCTGAGTAAAACTTACTCTTCCCCCATATTTCATGTATTACAATTAAAAAACGTTTTTTACTTAAGAAACTCTAGTTCTTACTAAATCTTAAATATACAAGGTAAAACTTATGACATATGACAGTTTACTGCACTAAAAAGGCACCATTTTCAGTGTGTGATGCAGAATACCGTACTGGATTCATACGTAGGCCTGACGTTACTTAAATAAAAAAGACCAAGTTGGATTTTGATTTGTAATATGTTATACGAGCAAAACCCGATGATTGAAATGTATTCAGTTGTTGTCAAGTTTCACAGATTAAACAAAATTAAACCCATTCTGTGAACCTGACATGAGTGTTGTGTGCTTATAAGCACGAAATGAACTTCCAATAGAAAATACATTAGTTTGGAATTTACTGGGTAGCACGAAAAATATGAAATTGTGTTGGCATGCACGAAAGAATAGATTAATTTATGTGACAGTTTCAAGATTTCCTATAAGACTGGGTTGCACATAGAGATGAGGGTTATAACATATATGTCAGCCATCTCCAGCTGTTAAGTTTTCTATCATGAAATTGGTGATTCTTAATCTCATTGAAAAGTCCAAGCTGTGAAAGCTTTGTCAAAATTATAATCATGTTGGACAGTAACTTGCAGATTCTGTCCAACAGGCTTTACCTGTGTTATCTTAGATGGATGATCATCTAGAAGCTGGACCCAAATGCACAGACTCACAGAATCAGTTCAATCAGGCATAGGGTAGTACAGAGAGTGATAGGGATATCCAAAACATTAGGCTGAAAGGCAAAGTCACCCTTAAAAACCAGGTCAGAAACACAACACAGTAAATACAAAGACACAAAAGAGCTGGACAAAACAAACTGGATCAGGAAGAGAAGGAGTTTGAACCCATCCCACACATAGAGAGATGATAGTAGACACAGAGGGAGATGATAACACACAGAGGGAGTAGATAACATACACAGGGAGCAAATAACAAATACAGGGGGAGGAGATGATACACAGGGGAGAATTTGTCTTGGTTTTATTGATTGAAGCACCCATATTTCTTTGTTCACCACTCATTGTATGGAGCTGTATGTCTGCTGTCAGATTGATCACTATATTAACATGTCATGTGAATTTGTTATGAATGTAAAGTCCCAGTTAATTACAACCGAGAGAGAAGTAAATCAAGGAACTTTAATTAACCTATTGTCATTGAATACTAACAGCTGTAACAATAAACCGGTAGTCGTACAGTTACAGTCTCCTAGCTGTCAGAACCACCAGTCACTCTGTGCAGTATCCTATACTTTAAATTGGTGAGTTTTGTATACACTCTTATGCTTGTGCATAGCTTATTTCCTAAACACTCTGCCTTTTTAAATAGCTTATATTTCAATAATTTGCACTTTTTTGCTAATCATTGTAGTTTTTTTCTTATTCTTACTCATTTCTATTTCTGTTCTACTAAACAAAGCATTTAAGACACAAGGCTTTATCTGATCTGACAATGTACAGTTATTGAAGAAATATCTGAGAAAAAGTATAGAGTCTGAAAAAGGCTCTCACCTTTGCCTTTCTTCAATACAATTTTTAAAGAAAATTTTTTAAAACAATGTCAGCTTTTACATCACACCTTCATACTTCCCACAGCCCTTGAAGGCAGCAGCAGGCCCCGCCCGCGCGCCCCTCCTCTCAGATGGGCAGTGCTGAGCTGTAATTGGTGGAGAGGTGTGTCGAAATTCTGACTGAGCGAAAAAGAGAGACGGTAGGTTCATGAAAGGAAAGAGCGGAGGAGATCCAGATAGGCGAGACTGAACCACGTTTCTACCTGCTGCAGGTGAGTTTGTTTATACTTATAAACGTGACTGCAGACTGAGAAAGTCAGAGGCTTACAGCAGACAACTCTGTCGGTACGTGGAAAAGGAAACCTGAGCTTTAAGAGCAGAGCAGGAAGAGGCTTCAACAGCCTGTACTGTCAACATTGCACACACTTATGGTCATGATTTAAATCTGCTGAAGGCATGTTGTTATGAAACGCCACACTTTCTGTAAGTAGCTGAGGGAGGAACACACAGCCGCTCTTCAGAGTTATATCAAACTGAGGGGGTCTAACTAGGGAGACCGGGAATTGTCACTCTTTTAACACTTTTGTATATTTCTTTGAATCAGTACATCATATATAAGCAAAACGTGTACCATATGAAAGACCAAAGTCTCAGGTATATATTTCGTATTCATGTCATTTTCATATCTTGTGTCAGTGCAGAGTTATAAGCATTAAAGTGGAGAGTGTGAACATGTGACATGTTTCCCCACCATCGGGTAAGTTGTCTCACTATATGGGGTAAGATGTCTCAGTACATTTTGCAGCTAATAAAACAAAATAATTGTTGTTCTCGTTGTTTTACATGAAAGTGAGCATCAAAGTCAGGCACAGAAAATATTTATCATTGAGCTAGAGAAAGTCATTGAACATAGTCATTGAACAAACGTTAACATAAGATATTATCAACATGCTCTGAAGTTTGAAGAGCTGTCTGACTCTGTATTTTGGCTGAGGTGAATGTTTTGCAGTACGGTATGGTAGGGTATGGTAGTTGACATTAAAGTCCTTTATTGTAGTCCAGATTGATTTATTAGCTAGGGTCACCTGCCTGACTGCCCTCAGCATCACGTCAGGTACTGCACTTCCATGGTCTGTTTTTCTTTTGTAATTCCTGACCATGTCTTCTTGCTTTCTCCCCTCTCCTTTTAACCAATCTTTTCTCTGTGAAAATCAAGTCAAAGTTTTAATAAGACAACTGCTCATAAGCAGACTCTCTGTGTTAATTTTAATCCCTTTCAAACATGTGACAACTAACCCCAAAATGACTGAGACATGTTGCCCCAAACTACAGTGTTTGCTAATTCGAGCTCTAGCTTAAAGTCCATATGTTTCACTGATAGGCTTTTTATCTGGAAGATGCATATTTTAAAATATATTAAGTTTTTTTTTTAATTTTTTTTACTTTGGGTTATGGAAATGGTTGGTTGGTGCTCATCTCAGCTCACAATTTTCTCTTCTGAGACAGGGCACGACCCCTGAACATGTAAAGGAATAAAACGAGTATTCTACTTTTCAGTTGTGGCCTCTGGCAGCAAAGATAATTGCAATGTGACAACTTACCCATGTGACATCAAGCCCCGGTCTCCTCTATTCACTTAGTGATGTAGAGAGTTATCATTCCAACATATGCTGTTTCTGATTCCTCCATTCTGGAGCGCTCGCATTCCTGTTTTTATATCTGCTCATGAATAAGCTTACATTAGTCCTGATGTATCTGCGAGAGCTACAAAATCATAAACTCTGATAACTTCCATATACGACCACAACTCCAAGAAACAGCTGAACCCCAGAGAGAAAAATTACAAACATGATGAGAATTTGATAGTTTGTGAATCAGTCTGTATTCAGTGAGAAATGATGCAAAGTAAGTATCAGCTAATACACTTGATAGTTCTATGAAAAATGTCTGCTCAGTCAAGGGTTAGGATTAGAGCCTTGTTTGGTCTTTTTCTTTGACTCATTTGTGCAGCACGATTGCTGTTTGTGCAGTTTTTTGGGGTTATTGCTGCACATTTTTGCCCTTGCAACTGTTTCAACATTTGTGTTGTTTTTAGGACTTTTGCATGAGCTTTTTAAGTATTGTCATTTCTGCATTTGAGGTGAATTTCTTGGCTCTTGTTGGACACCATATAGGATTGATGGCAACAAACTTGTTTTGAAAAGTTGTCAGAGGATCAACCAAAAAGGGGAAAATGTTGTGTCATGTTAACAAACAGAAAGATTTAGAAGATCTTTTTTACCAACAGCCATCAGGCTTTATAAGTCTTATGTAAATAAAATATAACTTTTATAGACATATTTCGTGAGACAACAGACAATTGAATTTCCCTTCGGGGATCATACATTTCTTTTTCTTCTTCTTAGAATTAACACAAACTTGAAGTTCCTCAAAGAAGCTTAAAAGAAATTTTGAGAATAGGGTGTGGGTAAATCTTTGAGGGAAAAGCTTTATGTAGGACTGTAACAACTGGTTTATAATGTCTCAAACAAACATCAGTTTTTGAAACAGTTTATCCTTTTCTTTTTAATCTTGGTTACTTTTCATCATTTGACTTGACCGCCTCATGGCAAAGTATGTTTATGGTATGGAGTTCAGTACTTTAAACTGTAAATCTCTCTTTAAATCTTAGAACAAATAAATTAAAGTTTGGTAATGTGGTGATCTGTTGCTGCAAGACATAGAAAGAGAGAAGTATCTGTTACAGGACTTTCATTGAGATGTTTGATCACATTACTCGCCCTACTGTCCAGGTCCATTACAGCCCCAAGGGGGCACCTATTTGTGTGTTTTTGAGTCTCAGTTTGACTGTAAATAGTCAGTTACACAGGCCTTCACTCTGGCTGACATCAGTGTGGACCTAAAACAGAAACTGATTTTCTCCTTATTAATGGGTCCTCACCAATGGTGGGAGCTGAGATGTCATTACAAAGGACAGTGTTCCTCCTGTCAATACACTCTTTTTCCTGCAGACTACCTAAATTAGAGTACCTGTATCTAAAATACTTGCCACAACGTGGTAAGGGTCCCTGTGCTCAGCTTGTCCAATCAGAAAGCTTTGTTACAACTACCTTTTGTATAATAAACATAAAGTATAGCGGTAAGTTAGACTGATCTCAGTCTGGTGGCAGTCAGACACCAGTGGTCAAAAGTTCAGGTTGAGTCCTCTTGGGTGTTTCAGGTAAAAAGATCAGGTGAGTGTGTGTCTCTGTGAGGACAGTAACAGGTGTGTCCTCTGTGTCCTCTGAGAGATGGGGGGTCAGGCCTCGTCTCCGGTCTCACTGGAGGGCGTCCATGTGGTGGTGGTAGGCGGGGGGTTTGGAGGCATCGCAGCGGCTCAGCAGCTGAAGTCTGGAGGCTTCAGTTTCACATTGATCGACATGAGAGACGCTTTCCATCATAATGTGGCTGCACTCAGAGCGTCTGTAAAGCCAGGTACTAACCGCACTCACCTGAGTATTACACGCTAAATGCTCTGAAATGTCAGATCCCACACATTTTTATTATTTATTCTTGATTACTTATATTTGTTCTCTGAAACTTTATTGGATATTTCACATTTTGTGCACACACACACTGATGAGTGCTCTCCACATTGAAAATAGATTGCAGGCTTTGACCTTTGACCCCTGTTGTTCTACAGGCTTTGCTCAGAGGACCTTTATCCCGTATGCTAAGACGTTCGGGGACAGTTTTGTCCAGGGTCAGGTGGTGCGGGTGAACATGGAAACACAATCAGTGATCCTGGAGGGAGGGAAGGTGAGAGCACCTGACTCCGTCTGAAGGGGTGGGACTAAAAAACAAGCTTTATCACAGGCACGTGTGAGAATGATCAACATAAACACAAAACATCATAACCCACCTTGAAGACGGGTCAGTTACACTAACCACTGCTATTTTTATAATTGTAGGTGTTGGGTATTGGGCTCAGGACCCTCCACTAGGCAGGGCTGTAGCTCAAGTTCATGTTTACTGGTATTCTGCTGTGATGCTTCTCTATCTGGATCTAAACAGTCCCAGCTGACAGATGTTATGTTGTAGAAAGGTGTGTTAATGACTGAGTTACAGTGTGTGTTAGAGGAACAACATAAGGCATGAACATGACCTTTGACCCTCCCTGGTCTCCTTGGTTATCACCAACATCATTACTGTGTTATCTGTAGTAGAGGCTCAAGCATCTTTCTACATAAGATGACATCTTCCCCCCTTTTTTTTTAGCAACCCAGCCACCAAATAGAACTGTAAGTCATTGTAAGGATGCCTAGCCCATGTTCACACTTTAAAAAATGGAAGTTCCACACAAATGATCATTTTGACAAGCTTTACCGGTTGCAGATCTGGGTGACAGCTTCATCATGCCACACGTGTAACGCAGGTGTCACTTAAGTGTAAAAAAGATTGGTCTGAGACTGTTCAAGTATATATAGTCGCCCACGTTTCCAAACATTCCGTGCGTCTTGTTGACAGAAAGGAGAGTATTTGTAGGGTAATAACAAAGCACAACATATTTTGGGAGCCCTAGTGGTGTTAAACACGGGTACAAAGTCCTTGTTGAGGATAGTTGTTGGAGGCCCATGGCTCCAGAAATCTAGCACTAAAGTATCTGAGGTATTTGAGTGACACAGCTCCACCACCCCAAAGGCTGACATGACTGGCTATAGAAAATCACCCTAACAGTTATTAACAAGTTTACACTATAAACGTCATGATTTTAATGATAATACATTTGACTCTAATTATGAAGGGGCTTCAAACTTGTCTTTTGTAAAATTTATGTAAGTTTTATTTTCTTAGATGTTTTCAAATTCCGATTTATTGAAATTAATCTGAGGATGTGTTGGTCTGAGCTGCAGGAAATCAAGTTCTCCCACCTCATTCTCTGCACTGGGACTGATGGAAACTTCCCAGGCAAGTTCAACACCATGGCCTCCCACCAGACTGCCATCCAGACCTACGAAGACTTTGTCAAACAGGTACAACCACAGCACAGGTATTACCTCAGGGTCAACCCCAGGACAGTTTAAAAAGAAACACCGAAGTAAGCAGTATTTGTTTGGACAGGAAATTTTTATTTTAAGTTTTTTGTTTTTTTTTAAATTGTGGTTGATTGTAGTCATATTCAGTTTTTCTGTCTTGTGTCTGTCTTGTGTAACTCAGTTTTTATTTTAGGCTCATTTTAGTCTGTGTTCAAATTTAGTCCAGACACTCAGACAGTTTTCTGATCATTTTTATGGATACATATACCCCCTGGTTGTAAAATTTTGAGTGTAAAGAAAGAGTACCTCAATATGTTTGGCCATCTTGGCTGAACACAAAGTTCAATGCCTTGAACCTAACTTGAAAAGTGCTATGAGTCCCATTTCATCAACATTTCATCTCCAGTACATATTTCTTCATCTAACTGAACTCTGCTACTGTTGAACCCTGAGTCACTTTGCTGAATGACTCAGGGTCTGAATATGAGGCTAAAGAAATCAAAAATCAGATTTTAGTTGGAGGAGGTAGACTTGTACTATAAAGTTGCTCAGCTCTGGTAAAGACGGCTAACATAGCACAGTGTGAACACAATGTTGATCCCTGGTCCCTCAAAGAAATCTGAGTGTAATGAAAAAAACATTTGAAGAGTTACTGTGTACTAATGTTAGATGGTCATCAAAGATCCAGGTATAAAACCAGTACAGGTACCAACACAGGACGGCTATAGAACAGGTACTGAGAGACAGTCCAGACATCACTGTTAGTCCTTTTGATTGTGTGTGTGTGTGTGTGTGTGTGTGTGTGTGTGTGTGTGTGTGTGTGTGTGTGTGTGTGTGTGTGTGTGTGTGTGTGTGTGTGTGTGTGTGTGTGTGTGTGTTTGTTCATATTTGTGTGTGTGTGTCTCAGGTGCAGGCAGCAGACTCTGTGTTGGTGGTTGGAGGTGGATCTACAGGTGTAGAGATGGCAGCAGAGATTAAAACAGAGTATCCAGAGAAGAGGGTGAAGCACACTGATCTTTGGTTACAGGACACAGTCTCTCTGACCTCTGACCTTTTTATTCACTGGAGCCTATTTTACAGTCTACCTCGGCAGTCAGCGCTTAGATGTCATGTTAATTAGGGGCTTGAATCTGTAATTATAGGTTCTCAGAAGTAGGGCTGCAGGATATATCGTTTGAGCATCATCATCGCGTTGTACATTTGCGCGATAGTCACATTGCAGAGCCTGCGATGTAGAAGGGAAATAAGCTCATCTAATTTCAAGGGTAGCTGACTGAGATACACTGCATGTGACTCTGTATGTGCTGTGCAACGATCCACCAATCACATTCATTCTTTACTCAGTTGCCAGTCAGACTACCCTGCCAGCCTTATATCAAAATAAGAGAGGAGGAAACCACGCCACTGCACATGGCCTGCACATGGAGTGAGTCGCTGGCGCTGTAGGTGTTGTGCCAAGAAATGCATGTCCGCCGAAAATTACTTTCGGAACATTACTCATTATTGTTTAGCCCCACATATAAGAACTGTATGGGTTTTAAGTTGTACATTTCCGTGGACCACTCCACTATAAGCAGTGTGCAGTTCTCGGTGGGCATGCGTTTCTCTGCACAACACCGGTAACAAAAACAACAATTTCAAAACGAGCAAGGAACAAGAGAAAACCACAGAAATGAAGAGTTGCTGCCAAAAAGAAGAGGAAAGTCAGTTATCTGGAATTATTTCAGTTATTAGAAGGATGATGTCGACCAAACACGTGTTCTGTGTCGGCAGTGCCTTTCATCTGTTGCTGCAACGAGAGATAAGTCCCAGCATAATAAAAGCAAGCTAAAAATATCTCTGAGACAGACAGAAGTCATTCTACTTACATTCACAAAAAGAGGTAAGATCAGTGCAGGTTAACCTTTCACATGATTTCAGCAGTGCAGAATAACAAAGTCCTATTCAGTTCATCTAGTGAAAATTCCTGTATTTTTTAAGGGTTGAAAAAATATTGCAATCTTAGTTTTTCCAATATCATGCAGCCCTAGTCAGAAGACAGCTAAAAAATGTGTGAATAGGTTGGTTCATGTATTTCAATAGTGAAAGTCTGGATTCTTTTCAACACTCCTAATAAAAACAAAAAAGGAGTGATGCAGCACAGGTGTAACTGCAGCTGCTGTTAAAACTGGTCTCCCTGTGTGCTTCCCTTTTATCCTGTCTTCACAGGTGTAGAAAAACAAGTGCTCAACCGTTATTTTTGTCTCCAGGTGATTCTGATTCACTCTAGAATTGCTCTGGCCGACCCAGAGCTGCTGCACAGCGTTAGACAGGAAGCTAAAGTGGTTCTGGTGGAAAAAGGGGTCGAGCTGCTACTGGGTAAGAACAGCTGGCTCTTACCTGTAGACAGGTGTGTGAACTGTCAGGAGCTTATGCAGCCTGTGTGTTCCAGGTCAGAAGGTGCTCAACATGTCAGAGCTCGAGTTGAATGTGACCCGGAAAAACACTGTGGTCACCACGGACAAAGGAACCAGCCTGACCACAGACCTGGTCATCAGCTGCGTGGGACTGAAGGTCAACTCTGCAGCCTACGCCTCCAGCTTCTGTGAGAACACATTCATGTGGAGAACCACAACACTGCAGTCACCTGAAACAACACAACCCCACACACATCCAGAAAACAGCAAAGTCTTGGACAAAGATTACTACACCAGAGACTCCGCACAAGTGTGACCAAATCAAATCATAAAGAGATGGAACTTTAAGAAGTTTGTGGAGCTTTTGCAACAACATCCCTGTTTATAGCAATCTGAGTCTTCAACAGTGAGTCTTTAACTGACTGAGTCTTTAGCTGACTGAGTCTTTAACAGTCTGAGGCCAGCTATCCACCAGAGGACTTTGAGAAGATTTGAAAAAGACTTTTGGAAAACTATCAGCTCACACCTGCTCACATCTAAAGAGAAGTGTTCAGAGTTTTTTAGTCACAGCCTAGTCTCAGACTGAGATTTTACAAAGACTGTGAATCTTGCAGGGTCACTACAACTTGATTCTTTCAGCATTCTTTTACAATTTAGTGTTTCCCACTGGTGGGGAGTCTATCTGTGGTGGTAGTGTGTGATTTGAAGGGGGCGCTTCTCATTCATTAGCTGTGTATTCACATATAACAACTCGGAACTCGCTAATGCCAATACTTGGTACTCGCGCCCCATGGTGCAGTCCGTGTGCGCTGCATAAACAGAAACATACTGAGTCAGAGGTAGCGCATAAAAAAACTTTATTGTTGAGCTGTGGCGGGTTCTATTAGTCATGGCAATGTGCCATTACATGTAGGGGAAACCCTGCAGATGATGTTGAATAGGCAAAACTGATCTGCCCACAGCTCCACTATCCGCACCAGTAATTCTTCATACATTCTTGTTCTTCTTGTTTTGACTGTCAGATTTCCTTTTCTGCTAAAGCTAATCTATTGGTTGTTGGTTGAGTTACATCATTGCAACTTGCGAAAATATCAAACATGTTTGATATTGAGTCTAGGAAAAGACTGAAATAAAACAGTGCAGATTACCGCCTTAAACTTAATGATCGAGATGACAGGAGCACTGTGACACCGCTGTGACTCCACTAAAACTCCAAGATTTACTTAAAGGGATATTCCAGTGTAAAATTAATTTAGAGTCAAACACAGTGCAACAAAAAGTTAAGACACCCCCTCCAGAGATGAATGTTGACGACCGCTTGCTTCTCTAGTTATGCCAACTTTAGTAACGACCGCAGGATAGCAATACAAGCGGTCTGAGGAGCCATACACAACCCTTAACCAAAAAGCCACTCTATAGCCACAACTAATGCTCAGAACAGCACCTAACTTCATCAACAGTACATACAGGGTCCCAGCCATAGTACTAGCCATCAAACATCTTCTTAACTTTGTCTGATTTCTTTCGCAAAGAGAGTAAACACAACTCACCTACTCTCTTCCAGCAGTTGCTTGTCTGTAGTGAGACCTAAGGCCAATCCATAATGAACTGCAGGGGGGTGACGCAGCTCAAGGAAGAACATTTGTGATCATTTCTTTATCATCTCCTTGAAGTAATTATCACCATCATTTTGCTCTGCAGACGCTGTAGTTCTTCTGCCTTAGCGTCTCTTTCTGATTGTAGTTCCATGAAGTAATGATTATAAATGTTCTTCTTTGAGCTGCGTCACCCCGCTGCAGTCTGTAATGGAGTGGCCGGAACATCCCTCAAAGACTTTAAGTTTTTAGTGTTGGACTGTGAAAATCATTCAGTGGAAGCCCAGCATTAGTCTTTAACAGTCTGAGTCTTAAGGGGTGTTCAGACCAAACGTGACCAGGTCACGTCAGGTCGCGGCTGTCCATAGACTTTGCATTGGGAGCCGTTGCTGACATCGCCAAGGTCGCGTTTGGTCTGAACACCCCTTTAAACAGACTGAGTCTTTCAAAGACTGTGTTGTTAATAGTCTGATACCGACTCACCTGTGACAGCTGACACACCTGATACTGACATAGTGCCCAGTGTTAGTGTCAGGTGTCACTAAGATAATTCACAAATGTTACAGAATTATTCAAACTGATACACAGCATGTGGCTCTGTGATCTGCTTTTATGTAAATACCCTGTCCTAATGTGACTCCTCTCTTACTGTTCTTTTTATCAGGACAGTAAAACCATGACATGCAGAGAAAGCAGTAAAATTTTTCCGCATCGAGTGAAGTAATTTGTTCAGTCAGTCAGCAATAACATTACTTTCAACAAAGTTCACATTTAAAATTAATGAGTAATTCATAGTAAATACATTTAGGGATTAAACTGACTGAAAAGGTGAAGAGGGATGATCAGCCTTATTATACCCTCTGTATACCCACAGTACATACCCATTACTCCTTTTACTCAGCATACTGCTAGGATACTCTCTGAACACTACCTTTAGTTTTAGCAAGTATACAAAGACAGGATTCACAGATTTACAGTTTATTTCAATGAATAAGTAGCTGAAGACACTGCTGAAAAATACCTTTTTATCCTAACTTCTCTGTGAAATTTAATTTCAACATACAGTATTTTAAATGTACAAAGTGAACAGCCCATTCTCTCCTTAAAAGGTTGTTTCACAGGTCAGTCAAAGCATGTCAGTATGAAAGAATAATGACTGTATATTGATGTGATTATTTACACTAGAAATTCATTACCCATAATTGATCATACAAACTTTTAAATGAGGTGTACTCAAACATTAATGTAAAGACAGCGTATTACCATCAGCAGCATGAGCTGGAGCTCATTCTGAACTCTTTTGGTCGAGACTATTTCCTGGATGAACCTGCAGATAATTTTCAACATTAGTGAATTGATTGATTTCTTCTTTTTAAAAATTTGTTTTGGCTCCTTTGAGCCTTTACAGAGAGTAGAGGGCCATGAAAAGAGTCTGCCACACTCAGCCATCCACCTGAAGGACCACAGCCCCTGAACTGAACTGAACGTAACGTATGATTTAACCAGCAGGTCGAACCAGCTGACTGGTTTAAAACTGTGAACATGAGAAGAAATTTAGCCCTCGGAGCTCAGAGTGACTTTTTAAAAACTGGATTTGTCCAACAAACAGAGTAGACCTCTGAATTGTAAATAATTGAAAATGATATTTCTAATAAATGTCAAGATTAATATTTGATATGACATATATGCACTCCTTGGTGGGAGCACCACCCATTATTTAAACGGTAACACATTGAAACCGTGGACAACAAAAGAGTAAATACATGTATATGAACTTCATCAGGATTAATAATGGAATTTATATGCTCACATTCAGATTATTCAATGACATTATAACCACCTAATGGTTAAAAATACTATATCAATTATTAAAATCTAAACTCAACATTTGTTATGATTCAATAATTTCAACTCTGTAAAGTTCATGAAACAGTCTTGTGGATCTAAAAAATATAGAATGAAGGATTTACTCTTTCAGAGTGATAGCTTGGCTTGTGGAGCACCTAGAAAAACAGGACACGTCTCATATTAACACAAATTTCATGATTAGACAGATTAGTACATCACTGAACGCAAAAGTCACTATCAGTCATTTTGATCTTTCACCAAAGGAATGCAGTTTTTATCAGTACATGGTCAAGCAGGGTTTTACGACAGAGGTTTGGTGGTCAGCGTCCTGCTCCTCTGACCTATCCTTAGCCTCTGTATGTTCACACACTTTACGACAGTAAATCTCAAATGAAAGACCTGGGTTGAGGCATTAATGATTATTTAGATGGTCAGTGATGGAGTCAGTTTGAAAGCTAATAAAAACTCTCTCTCTGTTCTTCTAATTGACCAATTGAGAAGAGTCAGAGGTTTGGGTCAACCTCTGGTTGGACCGTTTGTGTAACCTGAAAGTCCAAACAAGTCTGGAAAGATTAATGTGATCCTGTATCAAGGGACCAGAAAAAGAACCTTGACCGTGAGGAATGTGTATGTTTCACACACACAGGGTTGTGTTGATGCTACACAGTGAAAGCCGATGTTTTAGAGGAGAGGAATGGTGACTGTAGTAAAATACAGGTATCTGCAGGAATTGTCTAAGGAGAAGAACAAGAGTAAATTATCTTTTTACTTTGCCTCATCACTCAGTTCATGTTCAGTCAGTTTCCCTCCTGCAGACAGCTGAATGGGATGTGCAGTTTAGATACATGGCCACCTGAGGGCAGTGTCTCCTTGTTTTTAACTGTACTGCATTTAGATTAGAGTGAAACATCTCTGTAGAGAGATTCTTTACGTCCCAGCCGACTGTCCTCATGAGGGTCTGCAGGGTCCAGCGCCACCATCAGGATAAACACTGTCCTATACGTGTGTGTTTTTATTGTTCACACCATGTACAGACAGGAGCTCATTCTTGGTACAAAGTCTGAAGTACTGAGGTCAGACGTCACATGACTTGATAATAACACACCTGTAACTTGTATGTGGATGTGATCAGAGGTATGTTTGTGTGTTCGTTTTGATAGCTGACTCTCTGGCTGAAAACGGAGCCCTGAAGGTCAACGAGCACCTGCAGGTCAAAGGTCACCCCAATGTCTATGCAGTGGGTGACTGCGCTGATGTTAATGAGCCCAAGATGGCTTACCATGCCGGTCTACATGCTGCCGTTGCCGTTGACAACATCAGCAAAAGTCTGAGTGGTAATCCCTTGACCCCATACCACACAGGTAAACACACAGACACACCTGTTGGATGTAAGACTTCCTGTGTTTACCTGAGGTCCTGCTTATATGATGGTTGACTGATGTTTTTTTTTTTTGTTTTTTTTTGGCAGGTAGTGTCACCATGTTGCTGGCGATGGGCCATGATGATGGAGTGGGTCAGTTTAATGGGTTCAAGTTGCCTCGTTTCATAGTTACTCTTGGTAAGAGTCGAGATCTGCTGTTGTGGAAGAGCTGGAGGGAGATGAAGCAGAAACAGCCCTAACAGGACCAGGACTAGGCTCTCTCCCTCTGTCAGTTTCAGATCAAGTCTAAATATAAACTGAATAATCCTCTCAGCTCAGCTTTGTTATTCTCTTTTATAAATGTGTCAAACAAAAAAATCTAACTCATATAAATATTTATAGGTACTGTGAGGAGTTTCCAGCTGGTTGGGAAATGGTCTAAAACTGATAGCAATCCCTCTTTATAACCTTCAAAAGCAAACGAAACCATCAGCAACAAGTCTCATAGTTTCTTAGTTATCATTTTTAATGCCCAAAATCACTGTGAATGGAAGGGGGGACACCAGATAATTGACAGCAGGCCAAAGAAAAGGCCTTTTTTTAAATATCTTTTCATGACAAATACAGTAATTATTTTCACTGCAAAAGGACACTATCAACATTTAACGAATTCCATCCTGCTGACAGGGGCGATGAGTGCAGTGATTTTCCAATGATAGTCCTTCACTGCTGTGTTTTTCACCTGTGCCATCTCTTGGTTGTTCTTTTACTTCCTGTAAACTCTTGGTGCTGATTCTCAGGATGATCTGCTGATTGGGGAATTCCAATAGAGAGTAGTTTTTCTCCTCCTACCATCACCTGAGCTTCATAAGTCGCTAATCCTAACTTTAACCACTCCAAAAGGCTGTTTCACTGCCGTTTACCATCACTAAGGAATATATCCACACAGCAGACATGTCGAAGCCTGTATTTGGTGTGTCATGGACGTCATAGCATGTCCATAATTAATGCTTTAACATCACAGCCATAAACATCAGCTGGAGTGTTTGTCTCTGAGTAAGTGACTTATTAACCATAGCCTCTGATAGTACAATGCTAACATTGTGCATACTTAGTTCAGATCTCAACATTTAAGTTATCAGTTATTTACTCTATTAAACAGTTAGCTGACTTTATAGAGGTAACTGTGGCAATAAGTTTTAAGATAATTATGATATAGTCTTATATACATGTACAACCTGTTTCTGTGTCAAACTTTGTGCAGATGTATTTTTGACTGAACCTTTTTTTTGATTTTACAATAATGCAGTGTGAAAAAAACTCCCAATAAAGTAGATGAAGTAGAAATGTATAAAGAACATCTTTATTATATTTTTTTCAAGCAATAAAAATATATATTGACCTGATTTGTCATTTTTCTGATACATCAGAGTCATAAAATAAGCCAAGTGTGTTCATACAGAGACTAAACTCAGTTTCTGGTCAGCAAACTGATGATTCAACCATCACACACTGAAAATAATAAATATAGTAACTTACAGAGGAGATTCAAACAGAAATGATTCATAAAATGATGTAAACAATGACAAATGAGAAGCAGCTGAAGTGTCAGACAGCTCCGGGAGGAAAAACAAAGTCACACTGTGAAAAACAAAGCAAACACATTTTAAATAGTCACCGAGAGACTCACACCATAAGATATAGTGAAAGTGAAAAAAAACCCATCAGGGACTATCAGGCAAGTAATTGACTGCCATCATTTGTCCACTAAACTGAAATTCAATAACCAACTTTGTTCTTCGGCTCAGAGCAGACTCTAATGTTTGTGGGAAAATCTTGGAGCAAAGATGTGACAAAAAAGAAACTGATCTAACAAATACAGTGGCCCTGATAATCAACATCAAAACATTTCATGATTACAAAAAAAAATTAACACCAAAAGCTGTTTTACCAAAGCATTTGTGGATGTTTTTTTCCATCTAAATAGGTTTGGGTATTTTTTGCATTTCTTGAGGCTTTTTTTGCATTTTTAATATTTTGTGTTTTTCAAGAGTTTGAGCATTTCCTGAATTTTTTTGCATTTATTAAAACACTTTGCTTCATGTGATGTTTTTTGTTTACTAGGGATTTTTTTGTCTTGTGAAACATTTTGGCTTTTTCTAATTTTTGTATTTGTCTAGTATTTTGGGCTGTTTTGCAAATTGTTGGTGTATTTTTGAATAATTTTTGAAAATAATTATGCTTCACAAAATATTTTGTAATTTGAGACCATTTTATCATTTTTTTTTAATACTTTGAAGTATAATGCAAAAAGATTCAATACTTTTTTGCATCCTGGGAATATTTTTTGTTTGTTAAATATTTTTGCACATTTGGAAATGTTGTAGTGATTTCCACGTTTGATTTTTTTGCGTCATGGGAAATATTTTTTGGTTTTACCAACGAGATAAAGAAGATGAACTGTCTATGACCAGAATAAGTTCACCGAGTCCTGCTACCATCCTGACATAGGTTCTAGGCTCATTAAAAGGAGAGTTCAGCTCAGACTCTCAGAGCTTCTAAAAGATTTCTGATGTTTAAAACTATTTAAAAAAAAAGACTGGCAGATTCTGATGTGGTTTAGCAGAAAAGAAAAAGAAAAAAAAAAAGGGGGGGGGGGGGGGGGGGTTCACAGCTTAAAACACAGAAAAGCTGAGCGGTCTCTGACAGAAGCTGGTGAGCAGCTTCTTTTCCGGCACAGGTGCATGTCAGAGGATCGGGATGTACTTTTATCTTTGTGTATAACTCAGTGAGTCAGCCTAAAGAAATCTTACACACCTCCCTGTGACTCACAGATTCCACACCCGCAGAGGTACAGGCTGATCCTGCTGCTGCCTCTTGATTGGATGCTCGCAGACAGCGGGAAAGGTGTGGTGTCTTCAAACCAGTATAACCAGTCTGAGGCAGGTGTGAGGAGCTGGTTTCGTCACTCTGCTGGAATGTGGCAGTGAGGTTTCACCATTTGACCAAACTCGGCATCACGTTTGTTAAACGTGCTTGCAGAGTCAACATGTTACTTAACTTTGCATCTGTTTTTATTTGTGTCGGTCTTCCTTTAAAATGTCTGTTTTTAACTTTAGAGAGCAGCTTTTTCACTAAACTTTAGTGTGAGGAGATTACAAACTGACCCAGTTCTCTTATCAGTTTGAGATTGTTCCACCTACAAACACCTGCAACATCTCTATCATACTTAAAAAAAAGACTAAATCTAGCCTCTTCAGTGACTTGACGGTGTTTTCAGGCCCAACTCTAACAGTCCAGTACTCTCTTAAAAAACAAACAAACAAACAAAAAACCTGGAAACCACCCAGTTTCTGGAAGAATACAAAAAAAAAAAAAAAGGGAATCAGATCTGCTCAGGTTTTCTCTCTGGCTGCACTTGGAGTGTGTTGATCAGTCACAGAGGAGTTTGAACTTTGAGTTTCAGGTCGGTTTCCCTCCTGATGCCGAGCTCTGCAGGATTAACGTCATCAGATTAACATTTGTGTCATAGCAGCTTCAGTATCTGTCTCTGTGTATCAGTGTCTGTCCACAGTCCTCCTGCTTCGGCCTCAGACCCTCTCTACTCAGTCTTGGTAATCTTGACTGTCTCTGTGGTCTTGGTGGTCACAGTGTTGTCGTGGCGTCGCAGGTAGGTCTGATAGAAGAAGTTGGAGAAAAGCAGCAGGTAGCTCAGATACATCAGTGCAGCGCAGACGATGTTGTCGAGGCGGGAGGGGCAGCCACCGTGCTGCATCCACCGATACACCAGTGCGCTCACCGTCAGCCCCATCCCCATCTGCCCAATCTGAGCGCTGGTGATGAGCACGGCAAACGGGCGTGGCACGCGCAGGCCGGCGGCTCTGGCAGCGTAGTAGCTGTACATGAGTGCGTGCACAGCATAGTTCATGGTCATGAACCAGCCTCCCCCGGCCACCATGTCCTTATAGGAGTACCAGGAGTAGAGCAGCACAGTGATGTGGTGGTACCAGTGCAGGAAGAGCAGCTTTTGCTTCCGGAGCACGATAAAGGCTGTGTCACCTAACAGACACAAAGCAGGTTTTAAATCACTTGCCAATAAGACTTTAAAACATTTATTTCCCTTTTATTATTGCCTTTCTGTTATCGCTTTCATTTTTGTCAGTTAAATGTCAGCTTTAAATCATTTACTATCAGGTTTTATTTGTTAAACTAACAGTCTGAGTGGATTATACTCTCAGTTGCTACATCAAACTGTTAGAGCTGATGATGTAAACACGGTAACATTTCATTTCCAGCAGTATATTTTAGATTAACAAACATAGGATCCCACTTTTCTGAGATGTATTTAGGGGGCAGGAAAGGTATTTTTATATTTGGGTTAATACACTACATAAACAAAAGAGCTTACAAACAAAATTACCTCTGGCTGTTTTTCTTAATGTATTTATGTCATATAGTTTGAAAAAAATGAATAGTTCAACGTTTTTCATGAAAAAAGTATTAAATTAACTATAAATAAAAAAAGGATTTCAAAAAGCATTTTAAAAACCCACAAAAAAAGTATACTATTTGACAATTACACAAGGTAGTAAAATAATGAACTATGGGCTCTTTGAAATGTAACCTCCTACCTGTGTGAACTGAGACTACTCCGTTTCCATATTAAGCCCACACCTACCCCCGTACCTGTCATTAGTATAAATAGTCATAAATATTAATATTCTAGATATTATAAGGTCATACCGAGCTCTGGAGCCTTGCTCAGCACAAAGGCGTAGGCCCAGAACTTGCTGACAGGTCCGTTGTAGAAGCTCTGGTCACAGATGGAACCTCTAAAGCCGCTGCTACTCAGTATGTGGAACATATAGGAACCGGTCCGAACTGCTCCAATGATGCTACAAACACAAACATAAAACACAGAAGAAGAAGGACAGGATCCGTCAGACAGCAGCACAGACAGATGGAGGGATAAATTACAAAGTGGTAGCAGCTTGTGCTGTTTCCTATCCATCCACAGAGAAAAGGCTAATTCAAACACTACATTCGATAAAAACAAAACAATTTAACATCAACACAGACATAAACCAGGGATATGAATACAACATGAGCCTGACATTTAAAGGCTCAGATGTCTTCTGTAATCATCACAGCCTGTAGAGACACTGAATCCATTTTCAGAGCCTCTACTGACCTGCTCACTCCACAAATCAGGAGTCCCCTCAGTGTAACCTAAAAATATTCATTAAAAACAGAGTCTGTTCTCAAGGGTCTGATATCAGTATTGGAGGCGTTCTGGGTAAGAGTCTGAGAAGTGTATTGACCAAGCATGCGTCAGTAGGCTTTGGCATCTGCAGGAAAAACTGTATTTAGCGGAAAAGAAGGAGGATCAGTGCATCATGATGACATCAAAGTTCCCATCATCAGTAATCTGAGGAGGATGTCTTTGTCTCCATTACACAGATATATGCATGAAGGTCAACTAACAATCTATGCTGGATCAAACATTTACACCAAGACACTAATCTGCTTGATGCTGAGCTACAAAACAACAGTCAGGGATTAGATTTCCTGACTTCTCTGAATCCATCAGAATTTACGGTTTGAACATCCTTTAAAACAGACAAACATTCTGAATGTCATTTTCTTCTCCTCTTGAGGACAGACCAGACAAAGCTTCCTGTTAGTAAACCTAACCCATTCACAGAGGCAATCCTCTGTAACCTACTACTTACAATGAAGCTCAGACTCACAACAAAAAGATGAACAGTTAGCCAAAGCCAAGCCTCTTTGTTTCTTTCTTTACTTTGATCAAATCACACGGCCCCACCTCAGGTTGCTGATTAAACTAAAAACGATGCAGTGGTCAGAAAAGGACGTCTGTGCTGGAAGTTGTTAAGAACCACAGGGTTCACCAGAAATACAGAGAAACTGGCTGTCATTACCAGAGATACAGACAGCTGTTAGTTAATAGCTGAAGGGTTCAGGGACTGGCTCAGAGTCGGTAAGAATCAAACCAGCTGCCTAAAGCTATGCAAAGACCCAACCAACATCAGGACTTTCTAACATGCTGCTCAAACACTGTTCAAATGCAGAGGCTGGAGCTGGACTAAAATTGACCAACAGAGGGTGTCAAAGATCCTCTAAAGAGGAGTTTAGAGTCCTTCACAGATGAGACACCTCAGAGAAGAGCAAAACAGCAGGTATCATGTCCCTCCCCTCCTGCTGCCTACATTACCCTTGATGAAACCCAAACCTCAGAGCGTGATGGCCGTGTGTTATGCTAGTGTAAGTGGATGCTAGAACCTAAAGCTGTTATTAGAAGGTGCTCCACGTTGACCCACAGCTCTGTTATCTGAGCAAAGCAGCAGGTAACAGGCAGGAAACAAACACACCTGAGCTGCAATTATCTCCAGGTAAAATATGGTCAGCTTGTTACCACAGAGACAGTATGTTTGAATAGAGCCTCCCCTCAACAATGGCTTTTAAGTAGTTACCATGGAAAAAGACGCTGTTAAAAAAGTGTGTGGTTTACAGATGAACAGCTTGGTGCCTGTTTTCTGTTTGGATGGAGAGGACTCCGTCTCATAAACACAGTCTCACCTAGGCAAACTCTGATCTAGCATTTACCTGGACACTGTTTAATCATGTCTCCAAAATTTGACTCCAATTCTGTCATGAAACATTCAAAATAACACACTGGATCACATTTTTCAGTTACAACAAACTCACTGAGACTTAATTTGTTAGACTGTTTTTAGCAGTAATCTTGACCGTTTCTGAGGGGGAGTTGGTTCATCTGCAGATCTGGTTGTACTGGTCACAGGATCAGTTCCTGACACTGACTTGGTTTAGATTATGTCAGCCCCCTACATTTCCTGTATCTCTGGATGTATTATCTCATAAAGGCCTATGGATCAAAACATCATTAGAGATGAGAGTTTTATGACTGATATTCTACCGTAACAGCTGTAGATATCTGACTGCAAGGAGAGAGACAGTAATAGGTGTTATTACCTGAAGATAGCGAGGCTGAGCGACCAGAGGATGAGTGGCCTCCGCAGGTTCATTTTGGGTCGCGGCTTCATAAAGTGCTGACCTCCAAACACCAGGGCGGCGTAGAGAGCGCTGAACACAAACGACTTACTCCTGTAGGACAAACACACACATACATACTGTTTAAGATCACCATCAGGATACAATGGTTGTGCTGAATAATTATAATATGTTAAATATTTAAACCAAAGGTTAATTTGAAACCAAGGGAATAAAAAAAATTAAACAATATAAAAATGTTAAAACTGCAAAATAAACACAGCTACCTGGCAGAAATGAAATGTTTAATATGAAAAACACAAAGTTAGAATGTTTTCAGAATCAGAATCAGCTTTATTGGCCAAGTATGTGTACACAGACAAGGAATTCTAGTAAATTTTGCCCGCCATGTACAAACATTAAACACAAAATGTTATATAAGACAAAAATCCCGAAGTACGTACAAGCTCGAAATAGACATTTGACATATATACAAGACTGGTGCAATGATAAAGAATGCAATGGAGTGAAGAGTGGTTGTGAAAAATATAAACGTCATTATATTTCAGGTGGGTTATGTGTGTGAGGTAAGTATACATTGTGTTTTAACAGTATTAACATTAGAAATGAATATAAAGTACAGTGTGTAGAGGTCTGTGTCTGATGTCGACTGTAAATAAATAAACTGTTTAACATTTATAAAGTCTGTTACTGTCATTGTGGTCTTTCTGTGTCTTTGTGAATGCTAGGACTTCATCAGACCAACAGCCTGGGGGAAGAGACTGTATTTGTATTGGCTAGTTTTGGTCCACAGTGATCTACCTGAGGGGAGGAGTTTAAACAGTTTGTGTCCTTGGTGTGAGGGGTCTGTAAGGGGTTGGTGGCAGACTGAAACCAAACAGTGATGTTCAGGAACAATGGTGTTAAATGCTGAGCTAAAGTTAATGAGCAGGATCTGACAGTAGGTCCCTGCAGAGTCGAGGTGTTGCAGGATGTAGTGCAGCCCCAAGTTTACTGCTTCATCCACAGACCTGTTCACACGATAGGCAAAATGCAGGGAGTCCAACGGGGGGCCTGTGATGTCCTTTAGGTGGCTCAATACCAGTCTCGAAGGTTAATTTTTGATTTATATTTAATCCATTAAACATGGTTATCCTAATCAACAACATGTTTTAAACTGATTTTTCATTATTTCATTAAGTATTTAATAGGCCTACAATTTCTTTAAAAAGATACAAAAAATTGATAAGGAAGAAATCTAGCTTTATTTAGCAAAGATTACATTAATGTTGGCCTCTGTGACATGGGTTGTATCTTAGATATCAGATATTAAAAATACTCATAAAAAATACTCCAAAAAAAAAAAAAAAAAACTGGCAGAAATAAAATGTAAAAGTACAAATAAAAAAAATCTATCAATGTTTGCATTACACCGTTTGTACTGTATAATGAAATCTAGGGTTCCTGCACAGTTGGAATTTCCATACTTTTCCAAACCCTACTCTTTAGAATTATTTTTGGAAATACCTACTTTTCCATTTTAGAGAACAGCATTTTAGAACTGTAGTCATAGTCTGGAAACATACATATTTTTCCATACCAATACATACTTAATTTTCATACTTTTAATACTTGCATAGGAACCCTGGAATTTGTTATTGAAAAAATATTAATTTATTCTGGAATGTGAAAAAAACACTGATAATGTTTAATGTTCAATTTCAAATGTTAATGTTTGACACCGGAGAATATTAGTAAACTGGACAGTATAGCATTTTAAAATCTCTAATGATAACGAAAACGCCAATCCCCAGGAAAAATGCTTCTTTATTCTAATGACACTTCACAGGCCAATAAAGAACCAATTATAATTTTATGTTTAAATGATCAAAACATATGTATTCGTGATAGATTCATAGTAATTCATTATTTAGCAACACCAAATTTCATATGAAAAAGATGTTTGTGACTTTGAAATTGATTGTGAGTTTCAAATATTGTAAAACTTGATCATCGCTGGGAGGGACTGCATTGACAGGTATTACCTGGTCGTTTAAGTACATAGACATACTGCAAATACCTGCCAATGTCTGACATCATCATACCGGTGACTCACCTCCATACTTGTATAGCCGCATACTGACTGGACTTATGCAACACTGCTCTGAGCCCGGCGTGATTCCGAGAATCCTAAACAACAGCGTGCTTTAACGTTTACTTAGAATCTGCGCCTGCTCACTAAAAGGGCCGGACATCATTCAGATAAAACCGGATTGTGAGTTCTTTACGGTTTCTGTGCGCAAACATTCTCACGCACGGGATTTTCATTAATTTTCTGAATGAGCCAATTCAGCTCTAATGTTCGGCATAAACTGCTAGAATCAGAAACTCGTTTTTCCTAACCCTAAACCAGCAGGTATCTGATCTGACCCTGACCCAGCTCTTGGCCTGTTCTCTTCCCAGCGGAGAATCTTCAGTATCGATCAAACCGGTTCGGGTGATTGGTCAGGAGCGGGGGAAGCGGGTTGTTGTACGAAATGTAAATCGAAGCAGACATTGGAACATCATCAACTTGTCACCGCCTCCATTCACACTTTTGACAGAAAGCACTTTTAATCAAAACGGGGTTCTTTAAAAATGACAAATGTTCAGACTAAGGAAACCTCCGTTTGGCAGAAAGATTCACCCTCTCCTGATAGTTTGGAGACATTTCACCAATTTTTGTGAACACCTGATTTAATCAATCATTGACTGTCAAAGTATTAATGTCACCTGTTAGTTAACTCACCAGTTAGCCTGCATCCATTGGATGGCTCCTCTCTCGTCAAACCTCCGCTCGAAGCCATACTCAGACAGCGGCAGGTAGAGGTCTGTTTCATTTAGCATACTGAAGCGTCTCAGATCCGGAGAGAACTAATGAATCGGTTTACTTCAGTAACTCAGCTCTGTGCTCCTTGCGTCTCTCCTCCTGTGGTCTGTCCTCACACCTGTCTCTCTCAGACCCAATTAATGCCTATCAACAAGGGGGCGTGGCTTTAAGGGCACACCTTTGGGCGTCCCTGTTTCTGTATCCCACCCTCTATGGTCCTTTCAGTTTCTAACGCCCTGTTTTAGCGTCCTCACATGTTTAGACACAAGCATCAGTTTCAGTGTGTCAATGAAGGACAAATAAAAAGGAATTACACATTTTTCAGTGGTGTGTGTGTGTGTGTGTGTGTGTGTGTGTGTGTGTGTGTGTGTGTGTGTGTGTCCAGCGTTGTCCTCAGGGATGATTAAAGGATGATTATGCAGGTAATACAGGTGTAAACAGACTAAAGATGGAGGTGAAGTTTTCCCAGATTAGTGTATAATGTGGTTAAGTTGATGGAGCTCAGTGAGTCTGAGTGTCTCTTTCTGAAAACTGAAGTTATAGCACATCTTCAGTCCTGCGGTGTCCTCACAGACAGCAGAGCCTCTGTAATTCCACTTAAGGTAAAGCCAGGGACAGCTGTTGCAGACCACCTGTAACTATATTTAACAGCACAAATCAGGTTATAGATATGGCTATGACTCTGCACATGCTCAGCATGGTGTTTAAGCTGCATGTTTAAAAACAGTAAGATCACTTCACCACAGCAAGAGTTTAACATTTTTAAATGTGTGTCTAGGCATAACACTTGTTCTTTGTATTGTGTAGTGATTTCTGTCTGCAGTCTGAAGAGTGAGTATTGCAACTTAGTGACAGCTCCTTCTGATAGCCATTAGCCATTACCATTAAACTGTGACTCTGATTTTTTAGAATATATTTATATCTTTAGAAATTAGTTCACATCTACATGTTTCCTTCTATTAAAAGTGTGAAAAGCGTATTTGAAGTTTCAGAGTTATGGAGGAAAATGTAAAAACATGCTACAGCTGTGCCTGGTTTCCCCTGCTCCATCATACTGGGTTTATACTCTTTATTTCTTCTAAATGGAGATACTTAATCTGACTTTTTTTTAACATGAACAGTCACATTGAAGCCTCATGTGTAGACCTAATGTTAAACAACACACAGGTTTTCACCTGAGTATACAGGTGAGACAGAATGAGGAACAAACAGAGAAACAGAGCTGCTGCCACCTGGAAGACAGAAGCTCAAAGTGCATCTGAACACAGCAAGTTTATTAGGATACAAACAATGACAGCATCATCCACACTGACAGAGCAGAGGGAGGCACTGAGAGAGAACCCAATACAGAAAGAGAAAGAGCTAAAATGTTAAAAATGATAAATCACAGTTTGGTCAGTTGACTTTACAGAAAGTTATGATGCCTTAACAACCATAATCTGACAGAAATCTATTTTAACAGGTTGATTCAAACTTTAAAAACTAAAACTAAAACTCCCAAGAGAACTATACAAATGCAGGTTGTAGCTTGGCAACTAAGGCTGAGGAGGCAAACAGTCTACTCAATTCATATCTGTGTTACCTGGCTGGTGGGGCAGGGGGAGACGTGTGTGTACACGCTTTTGATCGAGAATTGATTGACTGTTAAACAAAAATAATAAAATAAAAACAGAGCCAATTACAATAATAACTTCTAAAAGGGCACTTGCTTGGTCCAGAGGGCAAAGGGCAGGGGCTATAGCACCACCTAGTGTCTATCTGAGCACGCCACAGGTTATAACCATATGACCCAGAGCATTAGTTTTCTATTTACAGTCTCATTTTATGGAGGGGGGTGACATCGCTGATGACTGAAAATGAAACTCAACACGACTGAACGGTAAAAGTTGTTGGTGATGTCGGTCGTGGTCAGAAAGGTTTCATAACGGTTAGAGTTCAGTGTTGACGAGGAGAAATCGTCTCATACTGAGACATCATCCGTGGAGCGAAAGCACGACTGCAACTGTTCAAATCGCTGACCACACTCTGAGTCTGTGTGTGTTTATGTTGGTCCGGTCTTACGTCGCCTTACGCCGTCGTGACGTCACCTCAACGATGCGGAAGTTGGAGTCACCGTGGAGAAGGTAAACTGATGTGAAGCAGCCTGCTGTAAAATATACAAAGGACCATCAGGAAAGAAAGAAAAGAGGAAGAATTCATCCGGGGAATATCGGGCACTGCAGACACCTCTCCTCCCGCAGCTCGGACTCCGTAACCGGCATGGGCTGGAACTCAGTCCGCCGTTACTATGTCACATAGCCGCCACATCTGTCCTGTTCATGGACGGTGTTAACGGGACCGTTACCGTCTAACGGGGGCACCGGGACACTCAAAGCCCACCCCGGTACTGCTGAGGAATTTCGTGAGACTTTAGGAAACTATCAGACCCATCCCAACCCATCCCTGTGTGAGGTAAGTGACCAGCCAGCAAATCTCTGTAGAAAAATGTGTAATTTTATATTTTAATAAAGAATTTGATAAATTGCAGAAAGAAAACATATTTATTTAGGTCATCTCCAGACTGACGGGTGTATTGTTGTAAATTCGGCATCAATATTGTAACATAGAACAATCGTTTCCTTCCATAATGCTCCTTCTTTTACAAGCCTCCATCTGTTAGCGATTGTCTTTTAAACGGTGCTCCTCCTGCTGAGCAGTAACCAAGAGCGTAGCAGGCTCTTTGAAAAGTCTACATTTCAGAGTTAGCAGTGCTTCTGAGTCATTCATATACAAGCCGTTGTGCAAAGTATGATCTCACCGTGTATAAAAGACCTTAAGACACACATGTGACTGTGTTTTCTGTAGAGAACAGGCAGGGGATTGAGTAAACTGATGTATTTCTGAAAGCAGTTCAGGCGTGCAGGCTGCTCCCGGGGAACAGCGGTTATCAGAGCGTGAATAAGCAAGAGAAGCGGAGCTTTGTGTCAAATCATACCAGTGTTTCCTACACCTAAACACTGTGAACGAGCAGTTTGCATGTTTTTAATACAGTTTTAGAGACTAAATTTAAGATATGGGGCTTTAAAGGGTCTGCGCTGAGCGTCTTGTGCTGGAGAGCCTGGGTCAGGATGAGGGGGAGGGATGTGGAGGTCAAGCTGCAGCCTTCGGATGACGGGACTCTTTCTGACTGAACTGTCACAGTCATGCAGAAAACACGCAGCAGGCCTGATAAACACACACTTAAATACAAATGAAATGCTCCAAATTAGAGTGTGTTTGTGTGCTTTATGAAACCATGCCAGGTCATGTGAGGCTGAAGCCAAAAATACTGAATATAATCACTGATCAGTCTGCTGATCATTTCATCTTTGATGTTGTAAATTTATATCAGCTGGTCTAAAACAAACAAACAAACAAACAAACAAACAAACAAACAAACAAACAAACAAACAAACATTATAGATTACCATAGGCTGAAAACTTGTCTTGAAGAACTGTTTTTTATATTCCTCTTTTTTTCAATAACTCAATTTATTCAATCAATTACAAATAATATGTTGGACTAAATCTGCAACAGTTTCATAGTTTCTAACTTTCAGAAAATAAAGATAGATCATTTGTACTGACACCAAGATCTGAATGACAACTGATGAGGAATGGAGGATGTGGACCTATTAAATGTTTAGTCTGTCAAATACTTAACAACCCAAAGTAACTCCTTCAGATTTATTCTGATGTTGAAATGACAAGAAAAAATCCCAACTTTCTGGAATAAATGTCAAAGATAAGATGTACATGTTTAGAGTATTTGTTAGTAAAATGACTGAATAAATCAACATTTGTTGTGAAAGTTTTGCATTAACTTATAGGGATTAAATGACTAGTCACTGTTGAAGTACATTGTGAGAAGCATGTTTAAGTTTATTGTCAAAAAATCACATTAAGAATAATTATTTTTAAATACAAACAACAGTCTAGCTCAGACTGTGTTTTTTTAAAACTTCTTTTAAAGTCCTGTGAGTCAGGAAATGGTCCCGATCATCTCTGAGGATTTAATTTTTAACATTTTTTGTTGTAATCTGACTGACAATTTCTGTGTTTTACAGCCAATTTAAATGTCACTGAGAGAGTTTAAAACTGCTTTATTGAGTCAGTGCAAAAACATAAATACAGGTATGTTCATTAAACTCAGCTGCACACTCAGAGACACTTTTACTGCTCTGTTTCTTTTTCTGGTGATTGATTTCTTTACTGGCAGCCAAAAATGCCTACAGCAGCAACAACAACTATGGCAGCTGTTTACGTTTAAATCTCTAGATTATGACCTATATGATCAAAGGTCAGACTATTTTGGTCTTAAAACACTCGTCCTAATGTTTGTTGAGTATGAGCCCTTCAGTCTGAGACAGTCCCGGAATAATTGGATATGATGATTTGCCTCTTCCACCGAACCCCACCATCTACCGCACACCCACCCTGTGTCCTTGTATTGTTCCTGGTCTGGTGTCACTGAGCTGCTACTGCTAACCTTTAGATCCATAACTGGGTGAAAAATAATTCACATTCATTTTCAATAGGATCTCATGGGAACCTTTTGATTCGATTCAGCTGTAGCTTTCAGGAATATATTTACAGTGGAGCACACTGATTATTCCAGAAGGGTCACCCCTCATGAATAGGATATACACAGTAAGATCAAACACCTGAAAGCATTGCCTTCATTTTGACCTATGAAACATTTTGTATCATCATATCCATACATTGAACCAGCATATTTGTTCAAGTTTGTTTATACTTTGTAATTTTTGTAACATTTCATGTTTAATTTTAAAGGCAAAGTTTACAGGAGTCAAACTCCTTGTATGTGTACACATACTTGACCCATCAAGCTGATTTGGATTCACACGTTCATGAATGTGTTCACTTGTCAGTCTTGACGATTGTTTGAAACAGTTTGTGTTATTATTTATCTTTGTGTTATTATTTATCAACCAGCTTTCGAACTATCCACTCTGCTGTGTTTAACACTTGACTCTGATTGGTCAAAAACCAGTGAAAACAGTTAATAACTCTGAACAGCAAAGGTGTTGTGAGGGACAGCCTGATGATGACACATGTCAGACTCATCAAATCAATCTATAGGGAGGAGCGTTGATGCTGAACTGTTCATGATCCCGCCTCATCCTGTTGACAGTATGATAAAATGTTACTTCCAGACAGCAAAGCTAGACAACCTGGAGGTGATTTTAGAGACCAGAACAGACACAAACTTTGACACTGAGGTCTTTGGCAGAGTCAGGGGACTGGGTCAGTGAGGAGGAACTGTTAGTAGCAAAGTTCCTTTGTGTAGGTGCTGCTGTGGTTTTTCAGAATGATAACAGATGCAAATGTTAAATTTGATATTAATTTCACCTCTAAGTTTGCTGATGAGAACAATATTTCTATGAAAGTGCTATCACCCATCAAGACAGAGGGACTTTTTAATTACCTGTGTAGAACATTTCTAAATCAATAAAACCATAATCCACAATAATATGGACTATAGTTTGTCCGTGGTTATGCCAAATGGAATCCTGACAGGATGAGAATAGACCCTGACATAAGGAGGACAGGATTCATCTCTGTGTCAGATGAATTACAGATCGGCATTTCAAGCCAAAATACTGTTGTAAAAACAATGGTAATTTATCCATCCATCCATCCATCCATCCATCTGTCTGTCATCAATCAATCCATCCACTTTGGTGATCATTTTGTTTCCCATGGTCATAATGATATGATGATCAGACTGATTATTGTGCTGCCTGATGTGTTTCCACCACCGACTTCTTTTAATCTCCTAGTTCCCTCTGAGAAAGGATAGAGAGGCCAAAACAAGTCCACACAGGCTTTGGTTTGTTTTTTTGTTTGTTTTGTCATTTTTATCTGAATCAGATTTTCTTTTTGCTCTCAGACTATCTGTTGTCAGCTGTCCTGTCTGACTCCACCTCCAGTAACTGAGGTACTGCAGAACACACACAAACACGCAAATAAACACACACTCACACATTCACATACACAGTCCACATGGATGCTTGCTTCAGTTTGCAGACTGATGTGTTTTTGTTGTTTGGAGGTATTTCTGCACAGTCCAGACGGTAGGTGGGGAAGGGGGATATAAAATAAAATAAGAAGAACTTTATTTATCCCCTGGGGGGAAGTTCAATGGGAGAGCAGGGCCTTATGGGTAAATAAAAAAGATCACACAGGTATGATCTAAACTCAGACTGTTCTGTTCATGCTCCATCCTCATCTAAAGTGGAAATGTTCTGGATTCACTGCTGGATCAGCTTCTGTCTAACAGGAATAACAACAACAACAACAACAACAACAACAGAAATAATCTGTGAGAGTGGGGCTGACTGTGAAATCATGTGACCAGTAGCATGTTCAAACTTGCTGAAGACTGGGATCCTGTAAGACTGGACACATGATTGGATTTTTAAAACCAATTGAATTGGACCTCTAGTAAGGGATGACCAAACAACACTAAAGAACTCTGAAAAATAGCCCAGAATCAAAAGAAAAGACTTCTGCAGGAGTAAACACTCCATAATCTGTTGCCTACAGCAGGAGGAAGAAAATGTTTAATAATGCGAATAAGTACTAATGAGAATAAGCATCTATAAACAAAGAACTAAAATATTATTAACAATGTGAACATTAAACCAAAAACTGACTTTCCCACTGTTATTACAAACAGTGAACTTACCACAGACACCGGACTATCCAACTGTTATTACAGACACTGAACTCACCACAGACACTGGACTATCCCACTAGTATCACAGACACTGGACTATCCCACTGTTATTACAGACACTGAACTCACCACAGACACTGGACTATCCCACTAGTATTACAGACACTGAACTCACCACAGACACTGGACTATCCCACTAGTATTACAGACAGTGAACTCACCACAGACACTGGACTATCCCACTAGTATCACAGACACTGGACTATCCCACTAGTATTACAGACAGTGAACTCACCACAGACACTGGACTCTCCCAAAGGACTATCCCACTGTTATTACTGACAGTGAACTCACCACAGACACTGGACTATCCCACTGTTATTACAGACAGTGAACTCACCACAGACACTGGACTATCTCACTAGTATCACAGACACTGGACTATCCCACTAGTATTACAGACAGTGAACTCACCACAGACACTGGACTCTCCCAAAGGACTATCCCACTGTTATTACTGACAGTGAACTCACCACAGACATTTGACTATCCCACACAGACAGTGGACTATCCCACTGTTATTACTGACAGTGAACTCACCACAGACACTGGACTCTCCCACTAGTATTACAGACACTGAATTCACCACAGACACCGAACTATCCCACTAGTATTACAGCCACTGAACTCACCACAGACACTGGACTATCCCACTGTTATTACAGACAGTGAACTCACCACAGACACTGGACTATACCACTGTTATTACTGACAGGGAACTCACCACAGACATTTGACTATCCCACTGTTATTACAGACAGTGAACTCACCACAGACACTGGACTATCCCACTAGTATTACAGACACTGGACTCACCAAGGACACTGGTCTATTATAATTGTCCGACCTCTGTTGTGTTTACTGTGATGTCTTGTTTGTGGTGCGGTCAGAGGATGTCATCTGTTTAAAGTGGATGTTTTTATTCCATGTTGTTTTCAGCTCTTTATCCTATAGTGAGTTTTTCAGCTTTTCTCTCACCTTATCAGGGATCCAGGTTTTAGAGGGTCAGCCCAACACCCCCTCCCCTTTTTGATATGCTGCCATCTTTTGCACCTGATTGGCTGGAGAAAGAAATGTCTCAGGGCAGCATAGGATGGGATTGGCTGGCAGATAGCCAAGAAGACAGGGCAGGGACATCAGCTGATTGATCAATCTCAGAAGATGAGAAGAAGGGGGCGGTGTGAGGAGGGAGAGGAGAGGAAAGGGAAGGGGAGGGGAGAGGAGCAGGAAGAGGAGGAGCCAGAGGAGGAGACGCTGAGTGAGTCTGTAAATCCAGGATGAGCCGGCTCTGCTGCAGACAACAAGTGTTCATGCTTAGAGCAAAGAGAGGATAAAACAAGCCTACTTTACAGCAGACAGAGAGAAAAAGAGATAGAGACAGAAGAAGAAGGAAGTTACCACGGCAACCCGGGGGACGTTGCTGCAGCAACCAGGACACCGGGACACTCAGGTAAGGGAACAGCTGATGTGTTCGTGTCAGAACATGTGTCTGCATGTGTGTGGTGATTTCAAGTCAGTGTGTGTGTGTATGTATGTATGTATGTATGTGACTGTGTGCATGAATGTGTGTTTGTGTATGTGAGTGTGTGCTGGTGGATTGAGCAGAACATACTAGGAGGGGGGAGGAGGATGTCAGGGGAATCCTATTAGCGGAGTCCAGGAAAAGTAGGGCTAACTAAGTTCTTATCAGTGTCACACACACACACACACACACACACACACACACACACACACACACACACACACACACACACACACACACACACACACACACACACACACACACACAACACTATGTACTATCCTAACACTCGCTGCCAGAACTCTGTGTTTGTGTGACGGTGTGCGTGTGTTATAAAAACAGTATGAGCGCTCAGAGTTCAGGTAGGTAGGTGTGTGATTGAAGTGTTACCTGTACAGTGAGAGCAGAGTTCAGTGTAGATAAATTGTGTGAGCTGGTGCTGCCCCTGAAACCTGCATTTATTCAGTTTCAAGTATGAGGGTTATTAAGTTAAATAAACTGGGTAAATAATGACCCATAATTGTGATTTGGATATTATATTGTATTATGTACATGAGTAATTTATCATCAGGCAACCACAAGTAGAGAGAGGAAAGCAGGGAGAGGAGCAGGAGGAGGTAGGGGTGTGTTTCTGTTTGAGTCTGAAAAGCAGAGGGACAGATCTAGCATAAGGAGCTCTCTCTTTCTTTGCTTTGTCAGAGTGATTTCAGCTGAGGTTCCAATGCTGCTGATTCGTTGTCTTCCTCACCTTTTCCAAATGGATTATTTCCATTGCTTTATTCATCCATTCTTTGTAAGTTGGTGTGTTAAACTTCAGAGAGATGGCAGAAATTATGTTGGCACTGCTATGCTTCTTATGCCAATCACTTGTTGTGTTTATCTAAGGGTTTGAATGATCATCTGCTGCAGTCACATGGTTTGTCACAGATTCAGTCACAGGTTTTCAGTAACAGCAAAAAACAACTGTGTGAGTGAGCAGTGCTTCACAGTCAGAGATGAAAACATAACCGTGTGAAAATTCAACATCTGCAGACCTGATTAAAATTTAGATTTTATCTCTCCGGCATCTGTGTCTAAAACAGATCTCATTATTATACAGGCATCAGAACAAGTAAGGCAGTATGAGTGAGGGCTGGTGTCAGACCAGGGGAGGGTACTGAGTATAGGGGCTCTCACGTTAGAGGTTGTAGTGACTATGCTGAACTGAAATTTAGTCATTGTGTGGGGGCGGGAGTGAGGTGTTTTTGACGCGCTTCTTGTACAATCCAATGTCCAATCCAAGGTTGTTGTTGAGATATATTTTTGCCATTTATTGATTGAATGAAAAACAAACAAACAAGCAAAAAACGACAGATATGTCCAGTTTACAATTATGGTGATGTACCTGATGAGGGTGAGAGTGGTGTCAGAGATTAGCGATTAAAGATTAGAGATTAAAAACCGTGTGCTCTTCCCGTTCCCCAGATCACTGCTTCATCTGTGTCCCTTTTGTAGCATTTACCTGCCCGTTCACCTATAGTGCCCCTTTTGGTGATTGTGGGAGTAACAAAACAAAACCCCCAAAAATATATAGATAAAATTATATGGCTCATATAGAGGTGCCTACAGAAATTGAGTAAAGAATGGGGACAGTACAGGTAGGGATCCTCAGAGACCCCCTTTGTATGGGGCCCATGTGTTTGTGTAACAGCCTGCATTGTGTGTCACTGAGCATCCTGGAGCTCACTGGACACAGCATGCACTCGTTTTCAGTAGGCTAGCTCTATCCTGTGTCTCTTCCTTTATGGCTCCCACATACATCTGCAACATAACTATCAGCTAAATACCTATGAGCCAGATGTCCACACCCCTCTAGTCACCATCCACCATAGTTGGTGATGTCACTTTGACATGTGGCTGCATGTGGTCAGTGAGACTGTGTTTGGAGGTTCTCATAGGGAAACAGTTCAAACTGACTTCAGCTGTGAATGTGCATCTTGAAGACTCCAAAATCAGGCAACTGGAGTGTGTAGAGTTGAGAAGACGTTTCGCCTCTTATCCAAGAAGTTCTTCAGTTCTAATTCAAGAAGCTTCTTGGATAAGAGGCGAAACGTCTTCTCAACTCTACACACTCCAGTTGCCTGATTTTGGAGTCTTCAAGAAAACCATGACCTGGATAAATGAGAATCTACATGGACACGCTGTGAATGTGCACTTTCTCTGCAGATGTGTAGCTCTTTCTAGATCATCTGTTTATGGCCACAGTGGCGTTTATACTTGTCAGGTGCAGATGGACTTACTGTCAGCAACCAATTAGACCAGTCTACCCAGAGTTTTTTCAACCAAGCCGCCACCACATGAGCTCTGTTTACTCTGCAGTGGACCACAGTTAGATACCTGCTTAGGACCTCTGGACTCCGCTGTGTATCCATTGTATGTGATTAGTGCATTGAGGGTCACTTATACTATCAGTGCCATCAGGTTAAATACTGTTACAGCAAATGGTGTCTCTCTTGGCACTTAACACTCATATGATGGTCTCATATCAGACTCAGTTCACTTTATGGGGCTGCGGGACCAGAATATTCAAAATATAGAACACTAAATTTCACAGTAAATAGGTTTGTGCTGTCCGGGCTGAGCGCTGTTTGTCATCCAGTGGCAGAGCAAACAGAAATGAACTCTCCTCTGTCTGATAGTCTGTCTTTTAAGGTCATGTAAAGGGGTCAGTAATAAATTAAGTCAGTTTTATATCAAAGAGAGGAGGGGTTTGTGCAGTTCAGGTGGGTCTGTTAACATCAAGCATAGCAGAGGTTGACCACATTGTGAGGATCTGTTGAGTTCAAACAAGTTACCAGATAAACAGACCTCACTGTCCTCCAGCTGAGCTCTTTTTTATTCTTGTCTTGGAGTAAAGTTGTATCCTACCACTCAGATGGCTGCATACTGTCATCATCGGTTCATCCTCCATTTTCCGCATGAATTAATCTGGTGGTCTATTGCTGATATACGTCACCAGTGTATCTCCATGCTGATTGGTTATTGTGACACAAACATTTGCTTGAGTTCAGATATTTTCATTTCACACAAATAGGTGTGAGCGAGTAGCGAGTAGTAACTATTCGAATCATTTGCACGTCTAATTGCATTTCTGCATTGACTTGCATGTAATTCTTGGTGCTTGGTGTGAACGCGATATCAGAAAAACAACATGAGTTTGTCAGTGACAAAAAACAGTCCAAACTGATAGATCTGTAGAGGATGCTGCTGCTAATGTTACAGCTTGTTTACCTGCTGCAGGATGAGCAGATCTGCTGCAGAAACTCCCACTAAGTTTTACTTCTGTGAGTCTTCAAGAACACTAAGTGAGTTGATCAAAATCAGCCCAAATATCTGAAAGTCCCACAGATTAATACTTTCTTATTCTGAAAGCCTCCAAATGATGTGAGTTTGATCTGTGGCCAAATAGAAATACATTTTCATGTAATTTCCCTCCAAACTGGTCACTGGACATTGTGAAAGTGTCCTCTGTGAGGGTGCGTTCAGAGTCTGTTGAAGACGTCTCATCAGGGGAACATTTGGTTTTTATTTTGAATGATCATCCGTTGTAAGACACGTCTAAAATTAACAGCTATGTATCAAAAGTGAAAAGAAGTTTTTACTGGCTCGGTTCAGGACAAATACCAGCTCACAGTTCAATCTGATTACAGCAGTGAATGGAGTCCAGTTACCTACTATGCATCACTCATCATGAATAGTATGGTGCTTTATTTAATTATTTAGTTACTGTTTGTTTGACAGGAACAATACATGTAGGGTCCAAAAGAGCTGGCTCTTAGAGTGCTGGGTTAAAAAATGCTGGTTTCTAGGAATGTGGAATGCCAAGTTAGGATTAGATAGATTAGATTAGATAGAACGTTGTTGATCCCTTTGTCCCCTTTACTGGCTGTCCTCCAGAGTGATCCAGGTGAGCAGACCTGTAAGCATACTCTGTGGTCTTCATGTAGACATCACACCTTTCTCACCTGTGCACAGCTTTGGACTATCACTACTCATCACTAAGTGTGTCTCTCAGTTCTGAAGTCTTTCCCCTCTACACTGTTGTTCATACCTGTCTCAGGAGATGGTTTTGACTCCTCTCTGATTAATTAGGTGTGTGTGTTGTCTGACAGCATGGAGCGCTTTGAGAATGACTACATGGCTAGAGAGGGACACTTAAATAAAATCAGCAGAATGTCTGGAAACAGAGAGGGGCAGAAACAGAGAAAGAGACAGTCATCAAGAGAAACAAAATTAGCCAGGGACAAGTACAGAAATAGAGACATACCGATATGATCAGAGCAGGCACGTGCACACATAGGGTCCAAGGGGTGCTTAAGCCCCTGCCTTATTTGTTTCATATTTAAAAAAAACCCTTTTGTATTTGTGTGTGTGTGTTTTAATACATTAATACATCCCTGTTAGGGATGAGACGTGACAGTGGAGCGACTTGAACCTTTGTGAGTTATAAAGCAGGTAAAACAACTTCCATGGGGCTAAGTAGCCGCCTTCATCTTTTTCAACATGCTCAAATTTGAGTCGTTTTACAGACAAGTGTCCCTTTGTGCGTGCTAAGCTAACTGCTTGTTAATAATAGTTCGGAACAATCTAATATGACAGCTGTCTTTGTATGCTGTCTGTTGTGAAGCAGGTTCGTAGTGAGGACCCAGAAGCAGACACTGAGACTGAGATCAACTTAAAGCGAATTTAATGTCCAAACAGAAAGGGGTAGATAATATAACAGAGGATGTCCGGTTGGCTGGTTGGCTGGCTGTCGTGTGGGCTGGAGACACTGCAGGAGAAACCAGAGGAGACAGGAGTTAGAGGACATGAAAAGAGTCACTAGGAGCAAAGTTCTGAAAGTTATACCACAAAGTTTTGGCCAGGAGACACGTCTTTACCGCTGGGCAGGGTAGACAATACTCAGGCGCTGAGACTGAGGGCTGCAGGCTTCTTAAAGTCCCTTGATTAGAGATGAGGAGCAGGTGTGTCGACTCACTCAGCCTCAGCGCCGGGGGAGGGGAGGAAGCTCTGGAAAAGAGTACAGCCAGACCAGGCAAACAGGGAAATACAGGAAGTCCAGCCAAAATAAAACAGGATGAGGAGGCGTCTCACCACACTGTCTTTCTTGACACAGTTCTTAAATTTCTTCTCCATATTGAGTTTATTGTAACATTGCTGCTGTAAACATTGCTGTTCCCACTAAAATTTACAGTAGCAGTCACTGTAGTCATTTCTTTGTTTTGTCACATTTTTTGATGTGTACTTCTAGTTTGCTCTGGCCCGCCCATGTTTTTTTTTTTATTATGCATGTTGTGTTAATGAAAAAGTATAATACAGCATAAGCCTTAGCATACAGTTCAGAGGACATGACTCAGAAAGCTACACTGGCCACATTAGCTCTGTGTGTGTGTGTGTGTGTGTGTGTGTGTGTGTGTGTGTAATACCAAGCAATGTGCAATACTGCACCATTATATGCTGGTTTATTTTAGGGTTGTTTTAGTAGTATCTGTCGTAGTAGGCCTATTAAGGCATGAAAAATATTCAGCGGGCCCACGTACTGCCCTTCCCTGACTTTGAAGCCCTGCCCCTCTATATTTATGTGCATGTCCTTGGATCACACATTTGAGTACGGTCTGAGGAGGCCATTTAACTCACAGGATTGACTTTGTTGAAACCTCACAGAGACCAACAGAAACTAGCACAGAGCATTTAGAGAGACATTTTTCTTCACTGTGAACTTGACTACTCTCTAAAACCCCCTAACAATCCCAACCCAGGTTGGGTTGTATTTAACCCAACACCAGGGTTGAAAAGGGACCAACTACTTAGTTATTATGACCCAATGTTGGGTTATTCAAATCAACCCAAATTTTGGGTTGATTTGAGCTGGTTTGGCTTTTAATGGTACACACTCATGTTTATTAGGTAGGCCATAGCACCAAGGGTCTTGCGTAAGGACTCACACTGGTAGATGTAGTTTGCTCCTTACACATGTGTCTCATGCTGGATGCTTTACCCGCTAAGCTACTCCAGCTGCCCAATAGCAACCCCAAGCTACCCCAGTATATTATATACTATATATACTATTGCTATTGTGTAAAGAGTAACTTATCAGAAGACATTTTGACTATAATTATTAGGTATTTGAGTTATTGTTGCTTAGACTTTGCTTTCTTTAAAGTAACCTCCTCTGGCTTTAACAACAGCTTGCATATACCAGGCATTCGTTCCACAAGTTTTTTAAGGTATGTTCCAGGGATT